CCACCTGATGCAAAGAGCTGACTCACTGGTAAAGACCCTGATGCTGGGAAAGATTGAAAGCAAAAAAGAGGCTAGCAGACAATGAAATGGTTAGATATAATCATCAACTCAATGGACATGAATCTGAACAAACTCTGTGAGATAGTGAACGACAGGGAAGCCTGGAATGCTACATTCCATGGTGTTTCAAGAAGTCAGACAAGACTTAGCTACTGAACCAACAATACAATCATATATATTGATAACTGCCTTAGAGTAAATGGATTAAATGCACCAACCAAAAGACATAGACTGGTTGGATGAAAATAAAAACAAGACCCATGTGAGACCTAGGGACACTTACAGATTGAAATTAAGGAGATGGCAGAAAGTATTCCATACAAATGGATATCATAAAAAAGGTGGAGTAACAATATTTGTATCAGACAAACTTTAAAACAAATATTGTTATAAGAGAAAAAGAAGGACACTGCATAATGCTCAGGGGTTCAATCCAAGAAGACAATATAACAACTGTAAATATATATGCACTCAACATATGAACACCTGAGTATATAAGGCAAATACCAACAACCATAAAGGGATAAATAGACAGTAACACAACAATAGTGGGGTAGTTTAATACCCCACTTTCAACAATGGACAGATTATGTGGTAGAAAAGTAAGAGAGAAACTAAGGCCTTAAATGACATGTTAGACCAGATGGACTTAACTAATGTTCATAGAGCATTCCAACCAAAAGCAGCACACTACACATTCTTCTCAAGTGCACACGTAACATTTTCCAGGATTGACCACTTGTTGGATCATAAGGTGAGCCTTTGTAAATTTATGAAAACTGAAGTCATATCAAACATCTTTTCTGATCACAATTCCTATGAAATCAGAAATAAAGTACAAGAAAAGAACTGTAACAAACACAAACGCATGGCAGCTGAACATGCAGCTAAACCACCAATGGGACCACAAAAGAAATTTAGAGAAAACAAAGTAACACTTAGAGACAAACGAAAATTAAAGCACAATGGTGCAAAACTTACGGGATGCAGCAAAAGCAGCTGTAAGAGAGACGATTATAGCAGTACAATGTTACCTCAAGAAACAAGAGTAATCTCAAATAAACTACATAACCTTACACCTAAAATTCCTAGAGAAAGAAGAACAACAAAATCTCCAGTTAGCAGAAGGAAAGAAACCATAAAGATCATAGCAGAAATAAATGAAATAGAGACAAAACAATCGCAAAGATCAATGAAATTAAAAGCTGGTTCTTAAAAAGATAAAATTGATAAACTTTTAGTCAGACTCATGAAGAAAAAAAGGGAGGACTCACATCAATAAAATTAGAAATGAAAAAGGAGACATTACAACTGACTCCACAGAAATACCAAGAATCATGAGACTACTATGAGCAACAGTATGCCAACAAAATGGACAACCTGGAAGAGAAGGACAAGCCAATCAAAAGCAATGAAATTGAAATTGTGATTAAAAACCTCCCAATAGATGAAAGTTCAGGACCTGACTGCTTCACAGGCAAATTTAATCAAACATTTAGAGAAAAGTTAGCATCTATCCTTCTGAAACTGTTTCAAAAAACTGTAGAGGAAGGAACACTTCCGAACTCATTTGTGAGGTCACCATCACCCTGATACCAAGACCAGAAAGTGGGCAAAGAGGGTACATATCTTAACATAATAAAGGCCTTATATGACAAACCTACAGCTAGAGTCATATTCAGCAGTGAAAAGCTGAAAGCGTTCCCTCTAAAACCAGGAATAAGACAAGGATTCTACTCTCACCTCTTTTATTCAACATAATTTTGGGAGTCTTAGCTACAGTAATCAGGAAAGAAAAAGAAGTAAAGGGAATCTAAACTGGAAAGTGTGTTAGTCACTCAGTCATGCCCGACTCTTTGCGACCCCATGGACTGCAGCCCACCAGGCTCCTCTGTCCATGAGATTTTCCAGGCAAGGATACTGGAGTGGGTTTCCATAAACTGGCAAAGAATTTGTTAAACTGTCACTGTTGACAAAATGACAGGATACTAGGCACAGAAGATCCTAAAGATGCTACCAAAAAAACTACTAGAACTCATCAATGAATCTGGTAAAGTTGCAGGTTACAAAATTAACACGAAGCAATCTGCTCCATTTCTATACACTAACAACAAAAGATTAGAAAGAGAAAATTCAGGAAACAATGCCATTTACCACCACATCAAAAAGAACGAAATACCTATCAATAAACCTATCTAAGGAAACAAAAGATCTGTACTCGGAAAAGTATAAGATGTTGATGAAAGAAATTGAAGAAGACATAAACAGATGGAAAGATATACCATGATTGTGGATTGGAAGAATCAATATTGTCAAAATGACTGAATTACTCTAGGTAATCTACAGATTTGATGCAATCCCTATCAAATTACCAATCGCATTTTTCATAGAACTAGAACAAAAATCTCAAAATTTGTTTGGAGACACAAAAGATCCCGAATAGCCAAAGCAATCTTGAGAAAGAAAATGGGAGCTGGAGGAATCAGACTCCCTGACTTCAGATTATACTACAAAACCACAGTCATCCAAACAGCATGGTTCTGGCACAAAAACAGAATTACAGATCAACGGATCAGGACAGAAACCCAAAAATAAGATCATGCACCTGTTGTCAATTAATCTATGACAAAGGAGGGAAGACTGCACAATGCTGGAAAGACAGTCTCTTCAACAAATGGTGCTGGAAAACTGGACAGCTACATACATGTCAAAAAAGGAAATTAGATCAGTCCTTAACTTCAAACACAAAAATAAGCTCAAAATGGATTAAAGACCTAAATGGGAAACTGTGCACTATATAACTCCTAGAGGAAAACATAAGCAGAACACTCTGACATAAATCACAGCATTATCTTATTTGATCTGTCTCCCACAGTAATGGAAATAAAAACAAAAATAAACAAATGGGACCTACTTAAACCCAAAAGTTTTTGCACAGCAAAGGAAACAACAAACAAAATGAAAAGACAACCCTCAGACTGGGAGAAAATATTTGCAAATGACGTGACTAATAAACCAAAAAATTTACTAACAGCTCAAAACCCCAACAGCCTAAATACACATTTCTCCAAAGAGAAATCTTTATCTGCACTTGCACAGATAAAGATGCTACTGTGAAATGTGCACACAGATTCCAAGGATTAGTTAAGGTAGATAAGCTGTCCCTGTAAGAGATACCGGCAAAAACCTCACATTAAAGGAACTCTTGGAGAAAATTTACAATATTGAAAATACAAAAGATAAAATGTCAGGGCAGATCCAAATTTAGAAAGCAATATGACAATTCACTAAAACATAGAAGTACTCTTGCTGTGTATCACAAGTTATATAATGTGAATAAGGCAAGCACTGTTCCAACTACAGTTGTCCCTTGGTACTCATCCCCAGGGGGCACAAAAATCCAGATACCAAACCTGTGGATGCCTGTCATGTGTTAACACCCTTGGACGCAGAGGGTGAACTCTTGATGAGTTTTTAGAAAGAAATAAAACATTTTAATCCTCAGTGCTTCTGATGTTCCAATCACAGTGTACTGAGTAAACTTTAGTTTTACTATTTTTTTCCCATTTCCCTATATATTATGGGCTTCTCTGGTGGCTCAGATGGTAAAAAAGCTGCCTGCAATGAAAGAGACTTGGGTTTGATCTCTATGCCAGGGAGATTCCCTGAAGAAATAGGAAGAGCGTTTTCAATAGTTTCACAAATGTTTTTAAGGTCACAGAAAAATTATAAATAACCATGTACAGTTTCTGATTACACAGTTATTTGTACATTTTTGCACTAATGTACAAAGTGGTGACTGCAAGTACTCCTACATCAAAGTCCAGGTCCCTGCTCTTTCCTCTGCCCAACACAGTCTTACATCAGAGAACATGTGGCTCTTAAAACCTCTGCTCAAAGAAGCCTTTCTGTAAGTCATCACCCCTTCTCCCATCACTTATATTCCTTTTACACTGGTTTTTCTTCACATATTTATTATTTCTCTACATTCACTAGACAGTAAGCTTAAGGAGAATGGACCCTTTGTTTCAGTCACTTTTATTTCCCTGGATTCTGAAATGATACTTAGTACACACATGGCATTCATAATTTCTTGAACGAAGTTTTATGAAGAAGTAGATCTAAATATATTAGCACAGTAAGCTACTACTAATGTAAGCAAAAAATGCCATATAATAAACAATCAATAAAATCTTACTTTTAAGAACTTATCAGCCTATCTACACATGTATGTGGAAAAGGATGTAGAAAGACACTTAACAAAACTTTAACCAATTAATATTACTCTGGGGTTGCTCTCCAGGTGGCTCAGTGTTAAAGACTCTGCCTGCCAATGCAGGAGATGCAGGTTCAATCCCTGGGATGCGAAGATCCCCTGGAGAAGGAAATGGCAACCCAGTCCACTATTCCTGCCTGGAAAATCCCATGGACAGAGGAACCTGGCAGGCTATACAGTCCATGGGGTTGCAAAGACTTAGAGACTAAAACAGTTACAAATTACTCTGGGGAGTGGGACTAGAGAGGTGAGTGTAGAATGGGACAAAGATTTTTACTTTATACTTAATTTTTATATTGTCTCATTTTCTTTTCCAAAATACTACTTTTAGAATTAAGAAGATAAATAAAATAGCATGAATTAACTATCGTCATAATGCCATTTTTGATAGCAATGCCAGGAATGCCATTGTGATAGCAACCCAGGAACTGGGTGTTTACTATGAGGCAGGCTCTATTCTAAGTGCTATGAATACACAGGAATCCTATGAGGAAGATATTATAAGTATGCCCATTTCATAAATAAGGAAATTAAGGACCAGAGAGGTTGAGAAGTTAGTCCAGATCACACAGCTTAGAAAATGGGTTTTTTAGATGCACACAGACAAATTATGTGAAGTTTGAAACATGTTACTAGACTTTCCTGTCCTCAATTATGTGCTCACCCTGCAGGCCTGGGCGACCCAGACGTACTCCGCACAGAGCTCTCCACGCGAGGGCTGGCCACGTCAGGAGGCTGAGGGGGAATGAGGGTTTTCCGAACTGCCATTCTAGAAGAGACAAGAGACACGACCGGAATACAAGCGTCTGCGGGCACTCGAAGGGTAAGAACTACACATCCACTACGTGGGTCTATGGTAAAATTAAAGCACTATGTTGTCAGGTGCTTTTTAATGGATTTAAAAGTTCTCTCAATGTAATAAAGGCACATTATTTAGAAAGTTAAATAGTACTAAAGAGCTTTTAATAAAACACAGCAGATCTCTTTCCTTCATCACCGTCCTTCATCACTTCCTGCCTGTCTCTCTTCAGGAGGTAACTATTTTGACTCTCACCTGCTTCTTCTACTTTCTACCTACACATTTCCTTTGTACTTAAAATTTAAATTCATTTAGTATTCACAATCATTATTACACCTATGTATTCATATTGACTAAGCAAGTTAATGGAAGCTGAGTGAAAAAAGTCAATTAAGGTAGCTAGTGATCCAATGTGTCGTGTAGTAGAGAGGCCACATGCGGCTCAGACCAGAGCTGAGTGATGTGGAAGTCATAAATGATCCTGATGTGCAGTTTTGGCAGAGTGGTAGAAGCAAATGCTAGAAGAGAAGTGGTTTGAGAGAAAACATCTAGAATGAGAACATACCATTCTGCAATGCAGTGAATTCAGATACTGATCATGAAGGCTGTTAATACCTCAAAAAAGGGTGACACCAGACAGTGTATTTCTCCTGGTGTAACACTAAGACCAGGCTTCCCAGGTGGCCAGTGATGGAGAGACACCTGCCAGTGCAGGTGTGTGGGTTTGATCCCTGGGTCGGGAAGGCCCTTTGGAGGAGGAAATGGCAACCTACTCCAGTATTTCTGCCTAGGAAATTCCAAGGACAGAGGAGCCTGGGGGGCAGCAGTCCATTGGGTCACAAGAACAGTTGGATGCCACTTAGCAACTAACAACGGAACACTAAACTGCCAACTTATGAAGGAATTCTGCTGAAAGGGGGAAAAACCAAGCCTTTAGATTAAAGTAACAACTTGGAAAATGTGGAGGAGAGAATAAGTAAAACTAGGCTATGGGAGAGGTGGGCATGGACTGTGTTCCCTAAAATGATCCACTGGAGTCCCAATTCTTGGTGTTTGTGAATGTAAAAAAATAGGGTCTTTGCAAATGTAAATAAGTTAAGGATCTTGAGATAAGATCATTCTAGACTTAGAGTCTCTTAGAAAAAACCCTGATGCTGGGTAAGACGGTAGGTAAAAGGAGAAGGGGGAACAGAGGATGAGATGGTTAGATGGCATCATCAACTCAATGGACATGAATCTGAGCAAACTCCGGGAGACAGTGGATGTCAGAGGAGTCTTGCGTGCTGCAGTCCACAGGGTCACAAAGAGTAGGATACAACTTGGCGACTGAACAACAACAAAAAAGTTATAGGGTAGGTCCTAAATCCAAAGACTGACAACAGAAAGGAGATGGAGATGTGAGACAGACAGAGGCAAGGGCATGTGAATATGGAAACTGAAACTGGAGTGATGCATCCACAGACAAAGCAACTCCAAGGACTGCCAACTGCCACCAGATGCTGGGAAAGAGGCACAGAGTAGATTTTTCCCAAGAAGGAACCAACCAACATGTTTATATCAGACTTCTAGTCATCATAACTGTGAGAATAAACTTGTGTTGTTTCAAACCACAAAACTTGTGATAATTTTTTATAGCAGCCCTAAGGAAACTAACACAATGGGGATATAACTGACAAATTCAGGGAAAGAGATGGTGGGGGAAAGGGAAAACTCCAAGGGACAAAAGAGCTGGTAAAAAAAAAAAGGGAGTGGATAGGCAAAGATATAAAACATGGACTAAGTTAATAATTGAAGTTGGATTATGGGAATAAATTCTTATGTTCAAATTTGTATTATGTTTAAACTTTCCACAAAAAAAATAAAAAAGCAAGACCAACTCCACTCCCACCCCAGAAAACAAACAATCCTCCCAAACCCATAAAGAGATATACTACAAACGCACAGAACGACCAAACTTACGAAGAGTGCCAAGTAACAGGTGCTGGTGATGACAAGGGTAATGCTCCCACTGCTACTGACAGTGCAAATGGGCATAACACCTGAACAAACTGCTGGCATTATGTGCTAGAGCTGAACATGAGCAGACTACATCCCAGCAAATCCCTTCTGGAGTACTACATTTATGGACATATCAAAGGTGATGCAGAAAGATGTTGGGATAACATTGCAGCCCCAAACTGGGAAAAACCTGAAGAGCCATGGAAAAATGATGCCATTCTTATATAAGGGTATTGTAAACAACTGAAAAGTTACAATCACAGGTAGTAACATGGATGAATTGTCCAAAACCAAGTGAAAGATGCCGGAGTCACAAAAAGTATATATGATTCTATGGGAACTCAAAAAGAGGCAAAAGAGGGTAAGAAAAACTGGTTAGTAACCTTTGGGAGGAAGTACTGGCAATCACACAGATGTACATTGGGTTCCCTTTGTGCTAACTCATTACACTGTACATACATTATCTGCACAGTTTTCTATACATCAGTGAAAATGCTGAAAGAGAAAGAAAGAGACTGGAAGAAGTAGTGCCAGCAAATAGAGACAACTCCTTTATTTTCAGTGCAAACAGGAGAAATAAAATGGGGGGGAGAATGGAAGAAAGTGGCTTAATGGAAGAATTTTTTTTTTTAAGATGGAAGAACTGACAGCAAGATTATACTTTTTATGTGAATAACCCACTTGTAAGAAAAAACTGATGAAGAAGGAGAGAGAGAGGAAGAGCTGGAGCTGGAGTAGGTGAGGAAGGCTGTGATCAGAGCTCTGAAGAGGTACCCCTGGAGCTCACGTGTACTGGGAAACGGCGGTGGGCAGGGAAAAGAGGCTGGCAGGTAAGATGTGACAGCTAGTCTGTGAAGTTCTCTGCTGCTTGTTGCCATTTTCTCAAGAAAGTAGGTGGCACTTTCATTAGCTACTAGTGAATGTGGGAAGAAGCTGTGGAAGCCTGGAAAAGAACAGAGGTACCTGGCTGTCTGGAAGGGCGGTGGAAGAAAGCAGAGCGCGCCGGTCCACCATGAGACCCCAGTGGAGGTGTGTGAGGCTAAGCAGGACCAGGCAGTGCGGTGCTCCCTAGCACACTGCCGCACATACGCAGGCAGCACAACGCAAATTAGGGTTTAACTCTGATTCTGACAAAGCGAAGGGGAGGGTAAGGAACCTGAGGATGGGTGCAAGGAGATGATCGCAATGGGACCACAGACTCCGAACCAGGGAGAGCAGGCAAAGGCATCAGGAAAGGCAGTTAGAAGAGCGAAGAGGTGCTTAAGGACCAAGAGACTGCAGGCTTCTTAGCTGAGTCTTGTTGAGTCACAGTTCTGCTGCCAGGGACGTGGAAGGAGGCAGGCTGTGGGCCACTGGGGTGCAGAAAACACTGTTCAACTTCTGAGCCGAGGAATGCCTGTGCCCCTGGGGGTGCTCTGCTAAGGGAGGGTGGATGCAAGGGACACATTCAAGCAACTGAGAGGCCACAGAGCTGGGAAACATCAAATTTCTCTTTACATTAAAGATAGTATGACAACCAGACACTATGTGCCTTCTGCAGGACACACAATCTCTAAATCAAACCTGATTCTGTCCCAACAAGCTGGCTGCCAGTCACATGGGGCCACTAAACACGTGAAAGGCAGGAAATGCAAGTGACCAGCAGGACTTTTAAGAATGTTTCATTAGGGGCTTCTCTGGTGGCTCAGACGGTAAATAATGTTTCACTGAAGTTAATTTGAATTTAAAAACTGGTATTTGAGTAGAACAGTCAAATTCGCAGAGTTAGAAAGTACACTGGTAATGCCAGGGGCCAGGAGGTGAAGGGACTGTAAGGGTGAAGGGACAGGGGAGATGGGGAGTTAGTATTTAATGGAGCCAGAGCTTCAGTTTAAGAAGGTGAAAAATTTGGGAGGTGGATGATGGTGAGAGGTGCACAACAATGTGACTGTATTTAATGCCACTGAAATGTAATTTAAATATGGTTAAAATAGTATGTTTTATATTATGTGACTTTTACCACAATAAAAGAAACATTTAAAAAACATAAAAAATAAAAACTGGTATTTGATTCAGTTATTGGAAAACTTTTCACTGTGTCTGGATGAGCTTGGTTATGTGAAACTACTTTTTCAATAGCAAACTATGAAATTTAAATACAGACCAGGAAGCAGATCTGCTGTTGAGAAGAGTGGACTCAAAGTGGCAATGAGGTGCCAAGAGGACAGCCACCCCATCTCCGGGCACAATGACAGGAAGGGATGGGGAGGAAGAGATAGCCACCACTCTGGGGAGAGTCGACGAAAAGGCCACTGAGACCCCAGAGAAGAGCCAGGATCCAATTAAAGCAAGAAGTCATGCGCAGAGAAGCCAGCCACAGAGGACTTGGACGGTGCAGGCGGTCATGGGAGGTGCAGCGGAAGGCCTGTGGAGACGACAAACCAAGGGGAGAGGCAGACCTCACTGCGTCCCGTGCCGTGACGTTTCAGAACATTTTGTCTTGGTGCCAGTGTCGTCCACTGCACATACTGTGCCAAGCATTTTGTGGTTTGTTAAATCAGGAAACTGTTGCTCTTCAGTTTTGGTAATTTACTATGATCCCTCTTCTTCCGAGGCAGGATTCTCCTGAACTGGTACTTTAATTTTTTGATATATTCTCCCCTTTTGTCTTTTCGCTCTGCTGAGAGATTTCCTCAGTTTTACCTTTCAACTCCTCTACTGAGTTTTCAACTTCTGCTCTAACACTTTTAACTTCAGGACACACTCTTGTTCTCTGACTGTTCCCTTTGAGAAGCATGGCCTTCCTGTTTGATGGATGCAGTTTTCTTTTGTCCTTTGAAGATGGCACTGACGGTGTATGTCTCTGTTCGTGCTTTCTTAGGTTTTGTTTTTAGTTTATTCTCTTTGCCTAGCCTTTGCATCTTCCAAACTGCCTTTTTCAGTGGCTTCTACCTTGTATTGTTAGAATCCCCATCAGGCACCTGATATGCTGGGCTGCATGCTCATGATGGAGGAGGACTAAAAAGCTGATGGGATGCTCTGAGCTTGCGGCAGGGTTTGTCTACCTTAAGGGTGATCTGATCCCTGTCTGAAGGGTCCTTAAACCCTTAGTGTAGGTATTTTTAGATCTTTCCCATCAGGCTGATGGACCCTGGAAGGAGAGTGGAGTCCTCTTCTCAGTTTCTCTTTAACTGCCAGGGCTGTGTCAGCCAAGTGGGAGAAGTGGACAGGCAGTCTCAACACGCCATGTCAGCTAGGTCATTAATCTGCTTCTGGTGCAGTACCATGTCCTCTGTTGTGCTGGCCGATCCTAGTGGGCCATCTGCAGAGTTTGCTGGGGCTGGGGAGGAGCGGCCGTGCAAATCCACTGTGTGGGCAGAGAAGGCAGGGCTCTAACCACTTTTCAGACAGATTTCAGCCCAGCTTCCTTCTACCCTCAGTTCTTCCTGTTTGTGGTTCTTTTGAAGATTTACAACTTAAATGAGGATGGCTCTCAATTGTCCTCTGCAGACTTACATCCACATTCTCACCGCTCAGGGAGTGAGGGAGAGCTTGCCTATCTGCCTTCTCGCCTCAAAGTCTTGCTGCTGTTGCGTCTTCTCCTATTCTCCCCATCCCTGTGTATTTATGATCTTTCAAAAAAGCCTCTTTACTAAAAGTTCTGTAGGGTTTTGACAGGAGGAGAAATTAGGAAGAGCATGTTCAATCTGCCATCTTTATTACAAGCTCTGCCTTGCATTTTCCTTGATAAGGTTATTTTGTCATGAACCGACTTAGTATTAAAAGACAGAGACCTGGATCTCTGTTTCACAGCAGAGCCTATGACCTATGACCCACCAACTCAGAAGTTTATGTGACAACACGGAACACTATCTGCTACTAAATATGATCCTTAATACACTTGGAAAACGGTTTGCCTGAAGCAACAATTCATTTAGGATAACGAGGGAAAAACAGACAGCACACATTACTGTGCCTATCTAGATAAACCTGAAAAATTCAGTACAAGCTAGGGGTTCCAGCATTAAACTCTCAGAACCAGAGAGAACTCTCAAAGTAATTAATATGCAACAGATGTTTACAAACTGACACCCAACTGAATCCTGGATTCTTACCATCTTACAGTCTGAACTCAGCAAGGCTCTACTGAACAACCTGGTCGGCAAGTTATTTTGGCAGAAATCGAGTTTGCTACAGCACTGGATTAGTGCCTACTGTTTATACTGATGATATCCAGAACTAGAGGTGTCACCTGACACTTCTGGGTCGACTCACCCATCTGTGGCAGGTTTCTTTCGGAGTATACTTGGCCGTGGGGACGAGCCCTGGGCTGGAGCGTTGGTGCTCACACTCTGGCTGTGAGTCTGCACCACAGTTGTTGCCGCTGGAGCAGCACTGAATGGGTTGTTGATAGGGTTGGCTACAATTGTGGCTCCATCCGCCAACACCACTGCTAGAGGACATGGAGGGGGCAGGAAAGAACAATAAAAAGGAGACAGAAGTAACATTACTAAAATGTCATATAAGGCAAAGAACAACGATTAGACTACCACACTTAAGAGTACCCATGTTAGGACTTTCCAATTTCAACAAGAGGAATAAGAACAAAAGCAGATGGCAAAATGGGAGAAGTTATAAAGCCTACTGATCAAAAACCACTTTTCTTTGCTCTACAATCATGATTACTAATAAATAAGATAGATAAAGTACATACCATACTTCAAGAAATGTTCTCCTACAGACTTTTTGTAAGATATCACCGCTTCTCAATTCCTAATAATGGTACTAACATTCCAGTCTATCTTAACTTTATGCTTTACAAACAACTCCAAAAAAAATTTTAGGAAATTCCTTGGCTGTTTATAGGTTAGGACTCTGCACTTCTAATGCTAGGGCCTGAATTCAACCCCTGGTTGGAGAACTAGATCCCACAAGCTACACAGTGAGCCAAAAAAATTAAAAAGAAAAAGAAAATCCTAAAATGGACTGTAAATACTACCCTTATAAGGGTGAATATACTCTCTCAACTAAGAGCTCTTCTGGCACACTTCTCCCCTATGCAAATGTGTATTAAGCTATTTACATATGTGGTTTCTAATGCTTACAATGATCCTGACAGGTAAGTGCTAAGCAACTCATGTTCCAAAGAGCAAACTAAGGTTTACTGAGGTTACTTGAGACCACAAAGCCAGCAAGTGGCAGAACCTATGTATCTTTTCTTTCCAGACCAAATTCCACGTAGACAGGTAAAATTACCTGAAGTCTTCCCTTCGGGCTGGGGCTGCTGAGTCCCTATTGGTGCGGGCTGAAGTCCCTGGGTGCTGATGGGGGCTGCTGAGTGAATTCCCTGTGTGCCGATGGGGGCGGGCTGGATCCCCGGGGTGCCGATGGGGGCGGGCTGGATCCCCTGTGTACTGATGGGGGCGGGCTGGATCCCTTGGATGTGCCGAGCGTGAGATGCATCCACTGTCATCAACTGCATGGGGTTCAGGTGGACTGTGGATGCCACCCCTACTCCAGTCTGAGCTGTGATGGCAGAGTTTGGAGCCTGAGCTGAAACTAAAAATGATGCAGAAAGTGACAAGAATGTTAGCTCTGATTAGATACAGTCCACCTAAGGAGAAAAACACTCAAATCAAAACAATTTTTCCACATTCAAGATCTAAACTCTCAATTTTTTAAAAAAAGTGCTATATAAATCTCTAAACATTGACATTTTCTCCACCTTACTTTCTACTAATTTGAGATAATCTTTCTGCAGAAACAGCATTAAAATAAGAAAAAAGCAATCATTTATTAAAAGCCAAATGTGAGCCAGGCAACTATGTAAATAATTAATACAAACTTCTGAGATACATCCATGCCTCCAAGTCAAGAATCTTTGCTTTAATTGATAGAACCACTATCAGAGGAATTTCTGAAATATAGTAGTTATTAATTTTAAATTCTAAAATATGCACTTAAGAGAGAGAACAATCAACCTGTCCTTTTTTCAATCATCTACTGTGTACATTAAAAACTGACTCAACAACAAAACTGAAAACACAGACATTCCCAGGAAGAAACAAAGTAAGAAAGGATTTCTCACTATTTGTGGAAAGAAAACAAACAAAAGACTTTTCTTCTCAGAAAACAAATCTGGAAAAAGATATATGTATCTTCCAATGTTCCCTGCAGCATTACTTACAATAGCCAAGATATGGAAACAATCCATGTCCAGTAGTGGATGAGTAGATCAAGAAGATATGATTTATACACACACAATGGAATATTACTCAGCTATTAAAAAGGAAAAAAAAAACCTGAAACACCGCCATTTGTGACAATATGAATGAATCTCAAGGATATTATGCTTAGTGAAGTCAGTCACACAGAGAATGACAAACACCATATGACCTCACATACATATGGAAATCTAAAATGCAGAAAATCACAAACAGCCCCTAGATGGAGAAGACAGACCAGTGGTGCCAGAGGCAAGGGGAGAGGATGGGTGAGACAGGCTAAAGTGGTGAGAAGGCACGAATTTCCAGTTAAAGATACTAAGTTATGGGGATATAATGCACAGCATAATGATTATAGTTAAATATACAGCACTGTAAATCTGGAAGTTGCTAACAGTAGATCTTAAAAGTTCTCATCACAAGAAAAAAAACAATCTGGAACTGTACAGTGACAGATGCCAGCTAGACCTGTGGTGATTATTCTGCAATATAGATAAATAATGAATCATTATGCTGTACTTGTGAAACTAAGGTATGTCAATTATATCTCAATTTTGGAATTTCTTGGCAGAAAAGCTATGACAAATCTAGACAGCATATTAGAAAGCAGAGACAACACTTTGCCGACAAAGGTCCATCTAGTCAAAGCTGTGGTTTTTCCAGTAGACATGTACAGATGTGAGAGTTGGACCATAAAGAAGGCTGAGTGCTAAAGAACTGATGCTTTGAAACTGGTGTTGGAGAAGACTCTTGAGAGTCCCTTGGACAGCAAGGAGATCAAATCAGTCCATCCTAATGGAAATTAAGCCTGAATATTCATTGGAAGGACTGATGCTGAAGTTCTAATACTTTGGCCTCCTGATGTGACGAGCTGGCTCACTGGAAAAGACTGTGATATTAGGAAAGATTGAGGGAAGGAAGAGAAGGGGATGATAAAGGACGAGATGGCTGGATGGCTCAATGGACATGAATTTGAGCAAATTCTGGGCAATAATTAAGGACAGGGAAGCCTGGCATGACAGTCCATGGGATGGCAAAGTGTCAGACACGATTTAGTGACTGAATAACAAATACTTCAATTTTAATAATATAATTAAAAATGTTTTATAAATGACAGATAAAAAGGTAAATTATTATTATGCATAAGAATAATGAAGTGATAGAACATGTAAACTTAAAAGTCATTGTTACAGTGCAATTCTTTCTTTGTAGAATACATACACACACACAATTTCCAGATCATTATAGTTTCTTCTGAGAAGTGTATCCATGTTATTTCTGTTCAGTTTTTTGGTCATTTGCCTGCTGTAGAACCTGCAGTCTAGTTACTACTACAAGCCTTTTTAAGACCCAATCTTATTTCACACTTGATATTCTCACCCACACCATGCTCTGTGTGTGTGTGGGGTGGGGGGGGGGGCTCAGTCGTGTTCCACTCTCTGTGACCCTATGGGCTACAGCCTGCCAGGCTCCTCTCTCCATGGGTTTCTCCAGGAAAGAATACTGGGGCAGGCTGCCATTTTCCCTCCTCCAGGGGATCTTCCCAACTCAGGGACTGATACTGTGTCTCCTGCATTGGCATTAAGATTCTTTACTACTGAGCAAGATCTAATCCTATTCCACACTTTGCATTCTCACTCACACTATGCTTCCACCAAAACAAAACCACTCTGGGTTTTTTTTCTTCTTTCTTTTGTCACTTGAACTCCAAGGCCTTTAATTTGCGGCGAGCATGCCTGGTGGCTGGTCCTCATCCGAGCTCCTCCCGGGCTGCCACCGCCATGCCAGCACCTCCCCGCCTCCCTTCCTGGGTCTCCCAGGTCACAGCCCCACAGCAGATGCCCCGGCCCCTCCCTCCCAGCCTCCTAGGTAGGGGCAGGCGGGGGTGCCGCCAGAGTCCCGGCCGCGCCCAGCCTCAGCATGGCCGGGGCCCTGGGCCCCGCCGTGTGGATCTTCTCGTGCCGGTGCAGGCTGGAACGCCGGCTCAAGCTCTTGCCGCAGTCGAGGCAGTGGTAGGGCGTCTCGCCGGTGTGCGTGCGGTTGTGCGCAATGCGGCTGGGTCGCCGGCTGAAGCACTCACCGCACTCGGGGCAGGGGTGGGGCTCGACCCCGGTGTGGGTTGCGCTGGCGGGTGACCAGGGCCGAGCGGCGGGTGAAGCGCTTGGCGTAGGGCTTCTCGCCCGTGTGGACGCGCCGGTGCTGGATCGGCGTCGAGTGGTGGCTGCAGCTCGTCCAATAGGACGGGCAGGCGTAGGGCTTCTCGCCCGTGTGCGTGCGACGCTGCGTCATCAGGTGCGAGGGCCAGCTGAAGGCCTTGCCGCACTGCTCGCACCGGTAGGTCTTCTTGCCCGCCTCGCTGCCCAGCGCCAGGCCCCCCTCGCCGCTCTCGGGGGCGGCCATGCCCCCCTCTCTGGGTGGCTCTGGGAAGTGGCCCTCCTGGGCCTTCAGGAGGTTGGTGTCAGGCGGGGCTGATTCCGGCGATGACTCCTCCACGGGACGGGGCTGCACATCGTCCTGGGCGGGCCCTGAGTTCTGGCCGCTGGCTGCTCGCTGCCCGCAGCGCGGGGAACCCCCGGGTTCTTCCCACTGTGCTCGTGAAGGACTTGACATCGCCAAGGGCTCGCAGGGACGCAGCCAGCTCCTGTCTGCCTCCGCCGGTCCTCTCCTCCTCCTCCTCATGTCCAGCATGCATGCTGAAACCCGGGGCCTCGCCCTTGAGAGGCCCAGAAAGGTCTGCGGAAGGGAAACCCCAAGGACAGCCCACTCCTCTTCTGCAGGACCTCCCTGTAGAAGCTCTGCTGGGTGTGGTCCAGCCGCCCTCATTCCTCCCGCGAGAGGCACAGAGCCAGGTCCTCAAAGGTCACCGGCACCTGGGGCCAGGCGGTGAGGAGTGCCGCGGTCGCCTGCCAGCCTCTGGCCCTCCCCTCACGGGAGAGCACATGGATCTGGGGGGCCGGGAGGGCTCCCAGGGCAGGAAACAGTTTCCCTGCGCGCCCCGCGCTCCTTGAGCTCTGGCCTCCTGCGACACCCCTTCAGGGTGCGGCTCCTCTGGCTCCATCTTGATGTGGGCCTCTCCTACAGGTACTGTCCCCTCCGACTCAGAGAGCCTTTCTTGACAAGAATGCCCATGACCTGGAGTCTCTCGGGCTCTCTCCTTGTCCTGGGTAGCTCCGATGCCTCCGTGTCTGCAGACATTTTTTTAATCTCAGAGCCAGAAAGCACCATTGAGTCGTTTGGTGCTCGTGTTGGCCAAGCCCCCTCCAGCTTCTGGCCAGAAGCTTGGGATCCTGAAATTGAGCCGTCCGCTCTCAGCAGCCCTCTCTGCAGCTGCAACCACCTGCCCGGGCCGGGCGTCCATCCTGCTCACGGTCCCGCACGAATGATGTCCTCCCTCTCTCTGACACCGGTCCAGGCCTCCTCCTCTCCCTGCCAGCCCGCAGCCTTCCACCTTTGACCCTGGCCTGTCCGGCCAGCTGGTCGCCCGCGTGTTTCTCGGGATCCAGGCGCCCTCCCAGCCCTGCTCTCACCATCATGGAGGTGGAGGGGGCGCTACAGGTGGCAGGACCACGCCCCTGGGGAAAGGAGTCTGCAGCCTGCCCACTCTGTTTTTTTCCAAGCACATATTTTATTTAGCTAATACTTTATTCACAGACAGAAATGTGCTTTTCTCCAGTCCTACCATGGCTCTGCCCTATCCATTATGAAAGATGCTTCCCAAATGTCATTTCTTTTAGGAAATCATTCCTGACCTCCAACCCGACCTTCTCAAGTAGAAATAACCTCTTACCTCAGAAACAGCGTGGCTTTGCTCAAGTCTCTCTCGTGAGCTTGAGCATACTATAGGATCTTTTTACATCTCATCTCCTTACTAGACTCTCAGCTTGTTGAAAGCAACATCTGTTTATAAGTCAATTTTAAAAACAGAGCTAGCATAGGATCTTACATAGAATTTCAATCAATATTTGTGGAATTAATAATGCATGCATGAATAAACGAATGAATGAAACGGAAAACACCTCTGCAAAAGGTGAGTTTTCAGGAACAGTATGAGAGGGATCATCTTGCAAAATATACAGATTATATACCTACAGTTACACACATATATATACAGTTCCATATACGTGCCATCACTTCAATCATGTCCGAATCTTTGCAACTCTATGCACTATAGCCCTCCAGGCTCCTCAACCCATGGGATTCTCCAGGTAAAAATACTGGAGTGGGTTACTATACCCTCCTCCAGGGGATCTTCCCAGCCCAGGGACTGAACCTGAATGAATCTCCAGCACTGCAGGCAGATTCTTTACCACTGAGCCACTGGGGAAGCCCTATGGTTATATATACTTATATATATAGACTTATATATTCATCTCTCCACCTAACTTATAATTAATAGACCAAAAAGATCTCATCTGTAAAAGCAACCAAGACCACGAACTATTGTTCCAAATACCATAAACTATATAGTAAAGTGATCCATGTTTGGCAAGATCAGAGCCTATTATATACAAATTTTCCTGTTCTGTTCTTGACCTAAAAATATCTTTTAAAATAAGCTAATAAATTCATGATACTTGAAAACAGGATACTGTTAGCTGGTTTCTAAATGATTTATTCATTTGTGTCCATCCATGTTCAGGCTTATATGTTTGACAAATATTACACTACCTCTCATCTGCACCAACAATGATGGTTTGATACTGGAAGAAATAAAGTACTGATTGTGCTATTTATTTTTCTGTGTTAGTGTCCATCAGGGCTACTGAAGAGGTGAAAAAAGAATAATGTAGAGACAGATGACTGGCAGGATCCCCAATACTTCAGACAGTGTTCTTATGAAGGATTTTTACAATAAAAGTTTACACATAAATGATAGTATCTGCAGAGTCAGCTCTAGCTCAAGAGAGACTCTGCATGTTCTTTTCAGTTGGTTAGCGTTCAGAGAAATACATAGTGGTCATGAATTATCGATACTTTCTCCAGAAAGGCAAAACAACTGCACTGTTAGGGAAGTATCAATTGGCTGAGGTAGTGGATGAAGGAAGGAACCTGAAGGCAAGTGCTAATACTGATAAAGAGACTCAAAATTTTCAGCAATCAGTGTAACACATACTCACACAGAGACAAACTTCCACAATACTTTTAGCATCCCAGTTTTGGCAGCAATCAATTAAATAAGATTTTACTTTATAAGACTGCTAATAAAGAACAGTTACGAATTCCTTTTAAAAAGGAAGTTTTGGGACTTCCCTGGTGGTCCAGTGGTTAAGACTCTGAGCTCCCAATGGAGGGGGCATGGGCTTGATCCCTGGTTGGGGAACTAAGATCCCACATGCTACATGTCCAATAAATAAATAAAATAAAAACATTTAAAAAAAAAGTTTCTAAAAACAAACATCTCCTCCCCCACCCTCAGCAAAAAAAAAAAAAAAAGAAAAAAAATCAAAGCACACACACAGAAAATGTAGAGGTGGAGGAACCTGTTTTCATAGCTGTTTAAACATCCCAGTGTTTGAAAGCTTTAGATTAGCACTGTCCAACAAAAATATAAGTCATACACACAATTTCAGATTTTCCAGAAGCCACATTAATATAATAAAACATAGGTCAAATTAATTTTCATGATACATCTTGTTTAACTCAATATATACAAAAATGATAATTTTAAAATAATAATCTTAATAAGAGTTATTAGTAACATGTTATAAATTCTCTTTTCCATATTATGTCTTTAAAATTCAGGGTATATTTTACTCTCAAATCACATTTCAATTCAGAGACTAAATTTTTATCAGAACTACTTGATTTCTATTTTGATTCCATAAAATCGACAATTTTGCAAAAAGTAGGTTCATACTGCTAAGTTGTTCCAAACATATTTGAAATTTCTCTCATTTTAATTTAAGTAAAACAAAAATTCAGTTCTTCACTTGTGCCAGGTCCTCTTCAAATGCCCAGTGGCCACAGGCAGCCCTGGCTGCAGCCCTGGCGGCACATGAGAGGGAGGACGGCTACAATCTGATAACCTGGCTTTCTCAGGCCTGCAGTGAGCTGAGGGTGTCACAGCAAAGGAGTGCGCAAACCCTGCAGTTTAAGGATTGTTTACTTTGGACTGGCAAAAAGAACACTATTAACAAGACTGGATGGTGAATGTTGAGCATAACTGGGCTAACATTAAAAACACAACAAATAACCCATGAAACAGACACCCCAGGAGAGTATAGCTTTATTCATTTTTAACTGCACTACCATTTTAAGGGATAACAAAACTGTTATCATAATTATTCTCAGGGTGGGATAAAATCATGCTAATATCACTAATAAGTAACAACCTTTTACAGTCATAGAAATGGTGATTTACAACCTTTAAGCTTTAGATTTCAGCCTTATCTGAATCTGAAAATTGAAGCTAGAGTCTTTAAATCCATACGAGAAATACCCACTGATGAATTTCTATTTCATTGCTTGCAAAGCTACAATGGTAAAAGTCGCCGTAAGAGTGGGGCTCCTACCTGGATACTGCCGAATGGTGGACACAGAGCTGGTGATTGGGGTGTAGGTGTGAGCAGCCAGTGGGTATGCAGAAGGTGGGTACGTTGGGAGAAAGTACTGGAACTGAACAGGAACAGATGGCCTACAGACGGAACACAGACAGTATGAACCAAAACTGTCTATTTTCTCCTTTCCCTTCAAATGGTCCTATCGCCTACAAACTATTCATACTTTTAACTGCCATACCAACAGTTCTCAAATTGGGTCCCAAACAATTACAAAGGACACAGACCTAGAGAAAGTAGTATTTTAACACTGATGGACCTACAGATTATCAATATTAAGTGAAGCAAGTCAGAAAAGACCAATGTCATATATCATTGATATTTGGAATATAAAATATGATACAAATGAGCAAAACAGGAACAGGCTCACAGACACAGAAAACAAACCTGTGGTTACCGAAGGGGAAAGGGGGTGAGGAGACATAAATTGGGAGTTTGGGATTAGCAGATACCAACTACGTATATAAAATAAACACCATGGTCCTACTATATAGTGTAGGGAAATATATTCAACATTCTATAATAAACCATAATGGAAAAGAATACAGAAAAAAAAGTATACACATACATATTAACTGAATCACTTTGCTGTGTACCAGAAACTAACACAACACCGTAAATCAACCATACCTTGATAAAAACAAACAAAAAAACCCCCAAACTAATATGCATTTCTAGGGGTGGGATGGAGAGGGAGGTGGGAGGGAGGGTCAAGAGGGAGGGAACATACATATGCCTATGGCTAATTCATGTTGATGTTTGGTAGAAACCAACACAATATTGTAAAGCAATTATCCTTCCATTAAAAAGAAAAAAATTAATTATAAAAAAATGAGCATTTCTATACACAATAATAATCAAACAAGAGTATTTAAAAATGATCCAATTATGAATTTACTTCATATGCACTCTGCCAGGTTCTCACTGTGAGGCAGGAGAAGGGAACTACTAATACAGAATGGGGGAGGCAGTGGGGTTGAACCAGAGGCACCCAGATGTACTAGTTTTAAAAATGTTATCTACTTCCTACCTCTCCTGCTAAAGGGCCTAGAAGAAATGACAATCCAGTAAAGATAAACAGATCTAATGCCTAGATTTTGGTTCTAAATGATGAAAAGGAACCAGGGCTCAGAGAGATCAAGTTCAAGAGGAGCTTCAAGTATTTTGCTGTGGTGAGAAGAAAGAAAGGGCTAGAATGACCAGGACATAGTAAAACCCACAGTAACTAGTTTGAGGGGGCTCCCAAGGACCAACCTGGAGACAATCTGAACATTAAAACAGGTGACAGTAATGGATTATAATTATGAATAAACAAAACCAAGTCCCTGAGCCCATGTGGATTTAATAAAATAAAATACACAACAAAAGAAATAAATGAAGATTGATAAAACTTCTTTACATGAGGATGCCAATTGATAAACATATAGGAAATGATAAAAAAAAAATCACTATCTTGCAACCATCATATTGCAAGCATCAACAGATCCAGCCAATAATCAATGGAAGCAAAGACTACTAATAAGTAAAAGTTTACTGGGGAGTAGCATATCTATCGGAGAAGGCAATGGCAACCCACTCCAGTACTCTTGCCTGGAAAATCCCATGGATGGAGGAGCCTTGTAGGCTGCAGTCCATGGGGTCGCTAAGAGTCAGACACCACTGAGCAACTTCACTTTCACTTTTCACTTTCATGCACTGGAGAAGGAAATGGCAACCCACTCCAGTGTTCTTGCCTGGAGAATCCCAGGGACGGGGGAGCCTGGTGGGCTGCCATCTATGGGGTTGTAGTCCCACAGAGTCGGACACGACTGAAGCGACTTAGCAGCAGCAGTAGGATATCTATAGTCTCAAGGTATTTCCACACAAATTCATTATTTACAAAGAAGAAAAATATACCTTTACAGTAGAAAAATCTGACAAACATCAACTTCATGAAGCAATGTTGATATAACCAATAATGGGAGAACATGAGAGGATGAGTTCTCTGATATATAGCAATGAGAAGAGCTTATCACCTAATGGTATTCAGTCCAAAAATGCACAGGCTGAATTTAACTAGGAGGAACAATCCAACAAGTGCAAACTGAAGAATATTCTGCAAAAACAACTGGCCAATCCATACTCTTCTAAAATGTCAATGTATGAAAGAGAATGGAATGCTAAAGGATCATTTCAGATACCCATACTGTGGGTAAATAAGAACAGTTTTGTTCTCTGGAAGAAAATGGGAAATTGTACTTAGGTATAAAAGGGTCATGATGCTGTCATCCTTACATTCAAAATGGCTCAAAATAAATTAAACCGAGAAATACACAAGACAAAAAAAAAAGATACGAGAACATTCATCAAAAGGAGAATGAGTAAATACAGCACAGCTTCACTCATAAAATTAAAGAAATTACACAATGTATTGGATTTTCAGTGGTAAATTTGAAAATAAGGAAATATATGCCATATTTGTGGGATAATTTGTTTTACTGGAAAATCAAAACAATTGGTGACATGATGGGGCACATTCCCTCCTACCTATTATCACTGCGGGTCTCCATGGCCACAGGATTTGGAGAGGCTCGATGTCCTGAAATGGGAATCAGGCTACTCCTCTCTGCAGGGTAGTCAGGCTGGATCCGAGGAGAAGTGTGTGTGATTTGCTGAGGCACCACCTTAGCTACAAAAAAGTATCATCCAATTACATTACTGCTCAAATGCTTCTACTGGCATGCCGAAACATTCTTGGCCAGGAACAATCTTAAGAATGCAAATGGTAATAAGAAGCCTAGATTTTTAATCAAAATAAAAAATGAAAAGATGAGTACCTATGGGTTCAACTGAATTATTTCAATCTGATAATACACTGATACATTCACAACTGTTGCTTGTCAAAGCAGGGTTCAATATTAATACTTTATCAAAAACATCAGCAAGCAGGCCCTTTCCTCCTGACCTGGCTTCCTGGAGACCTTTTTTTTTTTTTTAAAGGAGAAAACTTAAAAAAAAAAAAAGTGAATACAGAAATGGCAAATACTTTTGATTCTTCTCCAGGGCCCATCACTAATTAGTAATAATGTCGCTAATTAGTAATGAGATCATTTCAAGCTCAGTTTTCTCATCTATGAGGAAGTCTTCTTTAGATGACCACTTTATTTTTAAAGTCTCTTGAGTGTCCTGTGATTTTGCATATTTTATGGCAAAAATAAAAGTAACAGTTTTCCAATTTAATTCCAGCTGCACAAAGACCCAACTCACACCAATGGCAGGCACCCATCACCCAAAGAGCAGCACACTGCACACCGCCCCCCGCCCCCCCCCAGGCCCAGCTATCTTCTGAGGAAGGCAGCGGGGGAGGTCTCTGCAGGAAGACGGCTGGGATGCCCAAGTTCGCCAGGGAGGATGGCCCCTGAAGCTTACTACAGACAGAAGTCGGCATGATGCGCTTTTCATCAGTAGCAAGTAGAGTCTGTGCTGAGTAGAAAGCGACTAAGCCTTGTTTTGTCAGTATGCCATAAAAGGGAGGGTGAATAGTGCTTCCAATAGGGAAGTAGCTGTCATCTGGCAGAGTGGCTAAGCAGAGCCTGGCTACCACAAACACATACATGAATAAATCCTTACTTTTTCCTAATTAAAAACCATGTCTTCAATTATTAAAAAAAAACCCTTCAGGAAAATCACAATGCAGAAATCATAAATTGGGGCTATTTTCCAAGATAATTCCTGTTTTCTGAACACCATGATCACCTAATTCTGAGACCACTGTCAGGTGTGGAGAAAAGTAAGGATGCCACTCTAGTGGAAACAGGCATTTATGGCAGGAAGGAACCTATGCTTATGGGTAATCAGGTTTTCGCCCCGACCCAGTACTTTCCTACTAATAACAATGGCTGAATCCAATCCTAATCTCGCCTGGAGAAAGCAAGTGACCCAAAAAGCCCCTAAGAGGCTCTGGTACGCCTCTTACAGCCCTAGCCTGAAAACCGGCATTCCCAGGGTTCTTATCAGGCGCCCTTCTCAATCCAGGCACTTCTACACGGGGAGCCCTTACGACTGACGCACATCTGGGCTACTGCACAAGAGGAAAACAAAGCTGGAGCAGAAATCCTGATAGAAGGTAGACACAAGCGCAGTAAGTGGCAGGTGTTTAAATCTGTTTGGACACTTGTGTCGAACGATTTTCAAATCTAGAATTTAGTAAATGCTAAAACATCAAAGATAGAGGAGCTAGGGAGTTAAGACAATATAACCACAGCCTAGAGTTAGAGAATATAACCACAAATACTCAGCAGAGGCAGCAAGTTGGTAGGTTCAGCCAAATGAATGAACATTATTTGTCTCCTAGTACTTTTGGTGAGTTTATTTCCACACTATTACTCTTTGGAAGATACAGTGACATTAATAAAAACTGATCTCTAAATAATTCTGCATAAAGAGGCTTCAAGACACAACCAGAGAGCCACTCTAGGGTACACAGCTCCTCTTTACGGGTCTGATTTTCTTCATAGCTACACATTCCCTAGTGAGACTCTCGACTATAAAAATGAAAAGAATGGGCTTGGCTCTGACTTTATACAGTGCTGAGGATGACTGATGACACTGTTAGGTATAGCCAGAAAACAATCTGCAATGACAACATGGAACAGTCAGCGATCTTTTTCAACATAAGCGCTTTAATGCTAGATGCACCACCCCCAAACTTCACAAAAGTAATATTAAATTCAGAGTGGTGGGAAAGAAGTTTGGGCTCTCTAATGCCAAGTCACAGTGAGCAGGAACGTGAGAAAGACCACAGTATTCTCTTGCTAAAAGTGCTGAACACCAATTTAGGGGCTGGTACTCTGACTTCTCTGAAAGAGGAGCAAGAGTTTCCTGGGTCTGACCGACATTCTGGAAATGCGCCCTCAAGTTTGCTGAGAGGACTGTGGAAGCCACAGCCTGTCACAGGCACAAAGGAAGAAGTGGGGAGGGAGGGCCCACCTCAGAGCTGCGACACGGCAGGCTACGGAGTCACACTTGTGTGTCTGGCCACCAGGCCTGAGTGTGTCAGTGCGTCCTCTCATGGAAGGCAGCTCTACTTTGAAAAGTACAATATGTTATAAATATAGCAGCTGTCTCATATCTTTAGGAGTGAAGGAAAGTAAGATGGCACTCTGTTACAGAACCAGGGCACAGTCAACACTACCATCCTGAAACCTGTGACTTGTGGGTTAAAGAGGGGAGTGTCTGCCTCACACACCACAGTTTATGCTTTGGAAGCTTTGAAGTGAGCTATCAGCTCTGAGGATCAGTGTCAGCAACTCGCAGGCCAAACCTAGCTGATGCCCCCGAACAATGGGTCTACATTTTTAAATGGTTGGGGGAAAATTAAAAAGGAGAATATTTTGTGACATGTGAAAATGATACGATATTCAAATTTCCATGCCCATAGAAAGTCTTACTGAAACACAGCCACACTCATTTGTTTACATATTGTCTGTAGCTAGGTGGTTGCACACACCCATGAGGCCTGCAGAACCTGAAGCATTTATGGTCTAGCCCTATGGAAAAAGCTTCCCAATCTCTTCTCTCTATCACTCAAGTCTGACGGCCAAAAACTTTACAGATTTTTTTTCTTGGCCACACCGAACGGCTTACAGGATCTTAGTTTCCTGATCAGGGATCCAACCCAAGCCCTGACAGTGAAAGCACTGAGTCTTAACCATGAGACCACCAGAGAAATCCCTCAAAGATTTTTAAATAATGAAAATATACACGTATTTAAAGGGGGAATAAACAAAGCCTGGAAGGAATTTTTTTTTTTGGTTGGCATAAATTTCCTTTAATAATTTCTACATTTCCAATAGGATTTCATTTGAGGTTTAACGTATCAAGCCAGTATTATGTTTTTCAGTTTTAGTAATTCTGGATTCCAGGTCATTTAAGATGAAAATGGAAATGCAAAGTTCACTTAAGAAATTTAATTTTCTTCTTCTGTAACATCTAAGTCTTCATCCTTTTCATCATCTTCTTCTGTTTGCTGATCCTTTCTTAGTTGACAGGTCAATACATGTCCTGTTCCAGATACACACTTAGCTGACAATGATCTTTGAAGAGGTGACTTCGAATTTGCTCTTACAATAGCTAAACAGGATGGATAATCTTGTGGATACAGAGAATGTCGGAAAACCTCTAAATCTTCTTCATCAATCTTTTGTATATTTTGGTAGGCAGCAGTGTAGACCTCTAAAGCTTTGCCGTGAAATAACATTTCAATAGTGATAAATTCTGAAAATATAGTCTCTACATCCTTTATTTTCTGCTTTTCAAAATTGTCAATAGTTTCCTCCAGATTATGAGTTGTTTGGGTAGCATCCATTGTAGCTCTTTGTAATTCAGTTTCTGCCTGTGAAATAACATGTCGATCAGATGGGTTTCTCTGACGTGTTCTTTCTGAGTTAACTGTTTGGTTTCTCGATTCCTTGCTGTTAATGCTGCTTTGAGATCATCTCGCTTCACTTTTACAATGGTTCCATAAGCTTTCAAAGGTTCAACTACTTTGGCTTCAAGTCTTCCAACCTCGGCTTGTCGGTAATCCTGAAGTTTGGCAGACTCGTCCGCAAAGTTTTTCAGGCCCTGCTTTAAGTGCGGGGTCTTGGGTAGAGACATACACGTTGATTTCGTTCACCAGGAGGTCCGCTTTGTCTTGTAGTCTGGCGGTTTTCCGCACGTAACCAGCAAAGATCTGGCACAGCTCTCCGAAATGTTTCTCCACATTGGTGACAGCATCTTGCAGTTGTCTGGTCTGAGCGTCCCGGCTTTCCAAGCTGCGCCTCAACACGCTGCCTCGCTCACTGTTGGAGACCCTGGGCTGAGACCCAACGACAGGGTCTCGGCCGCCCATACGCGCGCCGGGGCGCGAGAGCCTGCCCCGCGGCCGCCGCCGCGAGGGCCTCAGCGTTTCCACAGCCAGGAATTTTAGGATGGTCATGAAGTACTTTGGGTGTCACTCAAGACAAGAACCTCGGGGAAGTAACGAGGTTTAGCATGCTTCCCACTGTTGCAGCACCCAGAGATTTTCCCCGAACAATCTATTAGTGTACAAGTTCCTTCCAGTCCTGATTTTTGCTTCCTTTTTGCTTTTCCTGTTGTTCCTGTCGAACTTTTACCAGTGAAGTTAATTTATTTTTTTAAAAGGTACACATAGAAGAGGCGAAGTTTGATGAGTAAGTCCAAAGTGGAGTTAAAATAGTTTACTTTGAGCTCTCAAAGACTGTTACCTTTTCTTGCTCTACCATTGAAATGCCAAATCTGTATGTCAAGTAATATTGAAAGTTAAAAGTCAGGGTTGCTTTGAAAATAAACAATAAAAAAAAGTCAACACTAGCCATCTACATGAAGACCCGGTCAGATGGGCTGAAAAATTCCTTGTAAGCTTCTGCACGTTGCATGACACTTACCAACTGGTATGTTTGAAGTGGTCACGGCAGTAGCATGGGACGAGTGTGAAGGCATTGTCATGGTAACAATTGTACTTGTGGGAGCTTGTGTGTGTGACACCGATCCTGGAACAAGACAGAAAGGGAATTTCTTGAACAATGGCCTCTCTGGATACATTACACACTCTCAAAATCCCAAGATTTTGGGAAAAGTTAAGAGAATTTTTTTAGCCTATTTCTCATTCTCTGCCTGAAACTGAGAAGTAAAAATGGAACCCACAACCTAGGCCTCCTCCTTACCTGGCAGAAAGAGCAGGGTTGCTGACTTACCAGCCGTGGTTGCAGAAGGAATGGTGTTGGTTGCCAAAATAGGAGCCACGGTTGCAGCGGCCACTGGTGTGCCAGTACTGAAGATCGTCTTCTGTGTGGGGACAGCCCACAGCACAATTATACACAAGAGCTTCCCCCACTCAACCCCCTTTAAAGGCAACCATTCCCTTCAGTCTTGCCAGGCTTTAAGCCAGACTTGCACAATTCTGGTTTTAGCCCACAGCGTACACAGATGGCTCTTCACCTCTGGTTTTACCTGCGCCATGGTATGCAGCTGCTGTTTTGGTGTCCCCAGTGCAGGGTGAGATGGCAGTGTGATTCTTGTTGTCACATCCCGTGACTGGGCAGGACGTTGAATACTAATTGCTGCAGACGGTGGATGCTGGAGAGACAGAGTTGGCCGACTGGGAAGACAGAAAAGGCATGACAATCTATGACTTTTCTCCAGACACAAAGCAGGCAGTCTTGTGCTAGATCATAGAGTTTTACTTTGTCACATGTCTATGAAGTCCACAGGTAAACCAATAAACTTAACTGCCCATCGATTTTCTCTCCTTAAACTGCCATAACCTTTCATCTAGAAAGGTATCAAGATGTGTGTGTTCTAAGTTACTTCAGTCGTGTCCGACTCTTTGCGACGCTAGAGACTGTAGCCCACCAGGCTACTCTGTCCGTGGGATTCTCCAGGCTAGAATACTGCAGTCAGTTGCCATGCCCTCCCTCCAGGGGATCTTCCCCACCCAGGGATCAAACCCACACCTTGTATGTCTCCTGCACTGGCAGGTGGGTTCTTTACCACCTGGGAAGCCCATGAACCAAATAAATTAATCCTTAGTCATCTGAGTATCTTCAACATTAATAAGCAACACTCTCTGACAATCTCGAGCAAGTATTATTATAATAAACATACTTCACTCTGTGAACAAAGTGAAGATAAAGTTCTAACTATTATGTGGGAAGATTACAGAAAACCCTGATTAACAAGTTTAACCTTGATCCCTGAAGCACTTCTTTCTTCCCCCAGTTTTATATCATCCCTTACCAGAAGATAAAGTTACAGTCATGAATGCCTAATAATTGAAAGGGATATCAACACAGACAGCATGTCAAATTTAACTGGCAGCAAACTACTGAAATTGCAAAAATGGTAACATAACTGAAGCTGAATTCAAATTAGAGAGGGAGAATGGGCTATTTAATAAATGATGCTGGGTGAAAAGATGCTCAACATCACTCATTATCAGAGAAATGCAAATCAAAACCACAATGAGGTACCATTACACGCCAGTCAGGATGGCTGCTATCCAAAAGTCTACAAGCAATAAATGCTGGAGAGGGTGTGGAGAAAAGAGAACCCTCTTACACTGTTGGTGGGAATGCAAATTAGTACAGCCACTATGGAAAACAGTGTGGAGATTTCTTAAAAAGCTGGAAATAGAACTGCCATATGACCCAGCAATCCCACTTCTGGGCATACACACCAAGGAAACCAGATCTGAAAGAGACACGTGTACCCCAATGTTCATCGCGGCACTGTTTATAATAGCCAGGACATGGAAGCAACCTAGATGCCCATCAGCAGACGAATGGATAAGGAAGCTGTGGTACATATACACCATGGAATATTACTCAGCCATTAAAAAGAATTCATTCGAATCAGTTCTAATGAGATGGATGAAACTGGAGCCCATTATACAGAGCGAAGTAAGCCAGAAAGATAAAGACCATTACAGTATACTAACACATATATATGGAATTTAGAAAGATGGTAATGATAACCCTATATGCCAAACAGAAAAAGAGACTCAGATGTATAGAATGGACTTGTGGACTCTGGGAGAAGGCAAGGGTGGGATGTTTCAAGAGAACAGCATCGAAACATGTGTATTATCTAGGGTGAAACAGATCACCAGCCCAGGCTGGGTGCATGAGACAAGTGCTCGGGCCTGGTGCACTGGGAAGACCCAGAGGGATCGGGTGGAGAGGGAGGTGGGAGGGGGGACCGGGATGGGGGAATACATGTAAATCCATGGCTAATTCATTTCAATGTGTGACAAAAACCACTGCAGTGATGTAAAGTAATTAGCCTCCAACTAATAAAAATAAATGGAAAATAAATAAATAAATAAATAAATGATGCTGGGAAGACTCTGTAGTCACTTGAAAAAAATAAGACTGAATCCCTACCTTCACACAGTACACCAGGATAAACACGAAAATAATGAAAGGTTTAATGGAAAAAAACAAAACATGAAATAAAGATAGAATTTTTTTTATAGCCTTGGAGTGGGGGAGAGCTTTCTAACAGTCTAACAAAAATTTGAGATTTTTGGACTCAAAATCCAAAAGCTCTAAAAGATCAATAAACTTAACTCTAAACAAATAAGCAAACCTACTAAAACACACTACAAGCAAAGTATCATAAAAAGACTCATAGATGAAAGTGTAATCTTAACATACTAACAGCTCCTAGAAATTCACAAGAAAAGTAACAGTCCAATAAAAAAAGAGGCCAAGGATATGAATAGGCAGTTTGCTAAAAAGAAAACAAAAATGGCCTTTAACAAAGAGCAAAGACTCTAAGTCTTAATCAGAGGAAGAGAAATGTAATTTAAAAGACACTGATAGAGCATCATTCACCTATCAGATTGGCAAAAATCCCCAAAACTGACAGTGTACTCTGTTGTTTAAGCTGTAAGGGAACAGGAACTTTTAATATTCTGGAGGCAGTGTAAACTGGTACAAACCCTAAGGAGGGAGATTAAGACACAGGTATCAAAATTATAATCACATTCACCTTGTGATCACTTTTGGGAATTTATCCTACAGATTTCTTGTACACATGCATAATGACCTAAGTTAAAAGAACAATGGAATTCCACATACTGAAATGGAAAACTTTCAATATATGTTGTTATATATATACAAAAAACAACCCCAAGAGGGATATCTGAATTATGAGACTCACATGCAGCAAGCTGTAGTAAGAGAGCAGCTTAGGAATCCATGAATTATACAATTTTGGGGGTAAAAGGATAAGTTAAGAATTGCATTTGAGTTCGACTGCAGTTGTGAAACACTAGAACGACACCCCAAAAGCTATCAGCATGTTACTTTACCAAGGCAAAGGGAGAGCACAGGAGTGCAGCAGACGGGGGACAGGGGGGCGACTCCTTGCTGGACACCTTTTTATGCTTTTGGAGCCATGTGAATATAGATTAGGAGGAAGAAAACAAGAAAATTTAAGCTGTAAGGGTGATGTGACTGGGATCTCATGTATCTAAACTTAGCAATGGTGTCACCATAGGAATCCTCTCTCAAAATGATTTAAAATCAGACCTGGTGGGATATTAGTGAATAACTTTACAAACTGAATTTAAGAGATAAGATCCAGTATACTTCTTCAAAGTGAGGAGCATACTCTGACTCAGTAAATCAAAATGGTTTGTAACAGTGGGAGATGACATTAAATACTTGGACCCTGAGCAGTTTCAAGATCCAAGAAGCAAGGCATGAACTAGGAATTACACAGATACAGATAAGCTCCGCAGGGAAACTGTGTGGTGAAACTCAGGAAGAGAGAAACTGCCATTTTCAGCAGTGCATTTTCATTGGCAAGAGAGAAGTAATGGCCAAAACCCCTCAAAACAGCATCCTGAGTCTTCAGGAAAACTTCTAACCCAGTATAGAGCTCAGTCTGTAAGAACCAACTACAGACGGTTGGTTGGTCCAGAGTAAGTTCATTCAAAGATTAGGATTCAGAAAAGAACTAGCACAGTATCTATTTAAAGATGGTGCAAGAAAAAAGGTGTACAGAAATGAGGATGTCCACTGTAAATGTTCTCACCAAGCAGATGGAAATTGTGCCATGAATTAAGAAACTTAATGACATACCTGCTTCTATGAAATGAAAATGCAAAGTAAAGACCTAAGAGCTCACTGGAAGTGATGACAAGACAACAAAAGAAGACAAAATAAAAGGGCAGCACTCGAGAGAGAACCAGAAAACAACATTCCGCTGTTTCAGGGATGAAGGCAAAATTAGTAGTAGAACTTGACACAATGCTGAAAGTTTGGTAAGGGACAGAAAAATCATGAGAAAAGTAAGCAGAATCAAGAGAGGAAAAAAACAGTTTAAAAGGGTTAGACAAGGAAGTCACGCAAAAAGATCCAACAAGCACATCATTGGATGTTCCTCCCCACCCCAAAAAATAGAACAAAATTGAATAAGTATAAAAGGATACAACTCATGAAAACTTTCATAAATATAGTGTTATGGTGTAGATTAAAAAGGTACATCATGTTCCAGAACAAACTGATACGTATATGCCACAACCACTGAGCTCACACTCTAGAGCCCATGAGCTATAAGTACTGAAGCCTGAACGCTCCAAAGTCTGTGCTCTGCAACAAGAAAACCCACAGCAATGAGAAGCCTGTGCACCCCAACCAGAGAAAGTCCACGTGTAGCAATGAAGACACAGTACAGCCAAAATGAATAAACAAATAAATAAAACTTAAAAGAAAAAATAACACAGGAACCAAAAAAGTTCTTATCAGCCAAACTATTTTTTAAGTATAAGGATATCTGGGAAACAATTTAGAGCATGTGAAAATTCAAAATATTGCATCTATAAGCCCTTGCTGAGACAGAATAAATTTTATTCAAGTAAGTGATGAAGAACAACCAAAAAATGATCAACGAACTGGCAGACAGGACTGAATTTATTTAACAGAAGAAGACATACCACTTAAATTTCTTTGGAAATTTCCTTTCTTTTTCCAGTTCTTGAACTAATTTAATTATTTTTGGTTTATTGGATCTTTTAGAGTGCAGTAGAATTCAATGAAATCATCTGGGCCAGGTGATTTTCTTCGAGATAGTGCTTTGAAATTTTCTATTTTTTTCTATGGAAATCGGCCTGTTTAAACTTTCTGTCTTTAGAATTTAAATATTTATTTGGCTGCACCGGGTCTTAGCTGTGGCACCTGGGACCTTCATTGTGTCATGTGGATCTTTCATTGCCTAGTTATGGCACACAGGCTCAATAGTTGTGGCGTACAGGCTTAGCTGCTCTGAGGCATGTAGGATCCTAGTTCCCTGACCAGGGCTCAAACGTGCATCCCCTGCATGGCAAGATGAATTTTTAACACTGGACCACCAGGGAAGTCCACCATCCATCTCTAGAATTTAAAGGGAATTAGACATTAGAATTGGTTTTACAAACGGCAGAGGAACCAGAGATCAAATTGCCAACATCTACTGGATAATTGAAAAAGCAACGGAGTTTCAGAAAAACATCTATTTCTGCTTTACTGGCTATGCCAAAGCCTCTGACTGTGTGGATCACAATAAACAGTGAAAAATTCTGAAAAAGATGGGAATACCAGGCCACCTGACCTGCCTCCTGAGAAATCTGTATGCAGGTCAGGAAGCAACAGTTAGAACTGGACATGGAACAACAGACTGGTTCCAAATAGGAAAAGGAGTACGTCAAGGCTGTATATTGTCACCCTGCTTATTTCACTTATATGCAGAGTACATTGTGAGAAACGCTGGGCTGGAAGAAGACAAGCTGGAATCAAGATTACCAGGAGAAATATCAATAACCTCAGATATGCAAATGACACCACCCTTACGGAAGAAAGTGAAGAGGAACTAAAAAGCCTCTTGATGAAAGTGAAAGAGGAGAATGAAAAAGTTGGTTTAAAGCTCAACATTCAGAAAACTAAGATCATGGCATCTGGTCCCATCACTTCATGGGAAATAGATGGGGAAACAGTGTCAGACTTTATTTTGGGGGGCTCCAAATCACTGTAGATGGTGATTGCAGCCATGAAATTAAAAGATGCTTACTCCTTGGAAGGAAAGTATGACCAACCTAGATAGCATATTAAAAAGCAGAGACATTAGTTTGCCAACAAAGGTCCGTCTAGTCAAGGCTATGGTTTTTCCAGTAGTCATGTATCGATGTGAGAGTTGGACTATAAAGAAAGCTGAGCCCAGAAGAATTGATGCTTTTGAACTGTGGTGTTGGAGCAGACTCTTGAGAGTCCCTTGGACTGCAAGGAGATCCAACCAATCTATCCTAAAGGAGATCAGTCTTGGGTGTTCACTGGAGGCACTGATGCTGAAGCTGAAACTCCAGTACTTTGGCCACCTCATGCAAAGAGTTGACTCATTGGAAAAGACCCTGATGCTGGGAGGGATTGGGGGCAGGAGGAGAAGGGGACGACAGAGGATGAGATGGTTGGATGCATCATCGACTCGATAGACATGAGTTTGAGTAAACTCCGGGAGCTGGTGATGGACAGGGAGGCCTGGAGTGCTGCAGTTCATGGGGTCGCACAGAGTGGGACACGACTGAGGGACTGAACTGAACTGAGACATCAGAAATTTATCATAGTTATGGATCATTTAAACAGAAAAAAATAATTTGATTATTACAGTTAATGTCTGTTTAACTCCCTAGTGCATTTCTAATGCCTGGAGTACAGAGGGGGTACACAACAAATATTTGTTTTATGAGTCAAGAGATAGTGTTATATGCTGAAAATACATTTGACAAAGTTCAACTTCCATTTTTTAAGTAAAAACACAATACATTGAAAAAGACAGATAATTCAACATAGTTTAAAGAAAAAATCTAACCCTAGTGTTTATTGTATACACATTTATACCCTGTGAATTTTATCACACCATCTGAATGTATTAATTTTTAAAAGGTACTATAAAGTTAACATGAATAACACATAGTCTGTTTTATGGTGGGCAATTATATCTCTTTGTACCTCAAAAAATATAGTCTATTACCAAAAAGTAAAGTGTCTTCATTTTATTGAAGAGGGGACTAAGGATTAGATTAATTTTAAAACTTGCCTAAGGTTACACATGGAGAAGGAAATGGCAATCCACTCCAGTTTCTTGCCTGGAGAATCCCATGGACAGAGGAGCCTGGTGGGCTATGGTCCATGGGGTCACAAAGAGTCAGACAAGACTAAGTGACTAACACACAAGTCACTAGTAAATGACACAACTAGTAAATGACAGAGCTAGTGGTTAAAGTTAAGTCCTAGGCACTTTTCTGCATTTAAGTGTTACTTCTTCAGAGTTCTATTCCAGGCCCTCTTCTCATTATATTTATTCCCCCTGGATAGACTCAGTTACCTAAAGCCTCAACTACAGCCTGTGTTAATGACGTCAAAATCCTGTATCTCAGGCAAAGACATCTCTTCAATAACCTGTTGCCACAGCCAGTTGATTATTTCACAGATAAACTCAGTATCCCAAAACTCAACCTTCTCTCTAAAATCTGCTTTCTTTCCCTTGCCTGCTTTTCATTTACTTGGTCAAACAAGGAAGAAACCAAAAAGGCATCTCAGACTGTTTGCAACCGATAGACAAGTCTTCCAGATGGTCTCTAGTTCTTGACAGCTCTGCTCTACGCATCCACTACCCCTTCTTTTGTTCAGCGAATCACTTTTTGTTTACATTGCCAAAAGCCCCTTCCCTGGTACCCACAAAAGCAATGGCAAGAATCAGGAAAGACCACTAGAATTCTGCACGCTCCGGGAAGATTCACCCCACTGCCTTCCCCCATGGCCCTCCAAGCAAACTAATGGTGAAGGCTGTAAGGACAAATAACATCGTGTCTTTATTCCTACTGAGTCATTCACAAAAAGCACTGGTAACCATCCCTCACTGACCAGACTCTTTCCCTGTATGGCTTGTAAATCAATTGTACTATCTTCATTTTTCAAACATTCAATCTTTCCACTATACCCTCTGGACTCACAATCAGTCTTTAGCGAAATCCCCTACATCCTCAACCTCTTCTGTGAATATATCCACTATCTTCCTGCCCTAATGAATTTTGGTTTTCCCTCGATAACACTGCCTCCCTCAACAGACCTCTCAACTGGGAGCCATTTTCCTCTCTCAAAAACTTCTTCCTCATCCATGCTTTCTTCCTAAATTTTATCATCCATGGACCCCAGATTCATGTATTAACCTTTCTCAACATCTCCACTTGGGGGGGCTCAGAAGTCAGCACAACCTTAAAATGCCCCAAATCAAAATCTGGAATTCCTGCCCCAAACCTACTCCTCACATTGTTCCTCATCTCAAGTTAAGGCAATTCCACTCTCCCAGCTGTAAAGCCAACCAGTGCTGGCATAATCCTGACTGTTCTCATTCTCCCATAACCCCATACGTTAATTCCTCAGAAACCCTCTTGACTACCTGCAAAATTCTATTCAGAATCTCACTATGTCTTCTCACCTCCAAGCTTCTCTCTCGGGATCCCTGCCATCCCCTTATAAACAATGTTTCTAACTTGGCCTCCTTGCAGCCTGCTCTCTCCAGCAACCAGGCTGATCCAGCTAATTCAGATTACAGTGATGCTTTCCTCCAAACTCAGCTAAGGCTTCCCTTTAAACACACTCCTGTCTTAGGGCCTTTGCTTTTACTGTTCCCACTGCCTAGAACACTCTTATCCCAGACACCCAGAGGGCTCATTTACCATATCTTTCCATTTTCTGTTCAAATGTATCCTTATCAACAAAGCCCTCCCTGATTACCTTATATGAAATAGTAAGCCCCCTGCACTGCCTACCTGTCACTCCAAATCCCATTTGCCTTACCTAATTTTTCCCCAAAGCACTCTCTGCCACCTAAAAAAACATGTATTTTTCAATTGCATGTCTCCAGTCATAGTTTCAGAAAGAGAAACTCTATGAGGGCAGGAATCTCTTTTCAGTTGTTCATGGCTTTAACCTCAGTATGTAGAACACTACATGGTTCATTAAAAAAAAAAATCACTCAAAAAATACTGAGTCGAATGAGGGAATGAAAGAAGGAAAAGAGGAGATGAGATGGGAAGATGACCAGACGGCTGATCCTCAGATCCCCAAACATACCTAAGTGTGGAATCAGTGGCATGGGCTGCTGTCGTAGTGATGACTGGAGACTGTGCTCTGGTGGCTGACACGGTTGCTACCACCGCCGGAGGGATGGTGTTAGAGGTGGTCACAGGTGGGCGAGACTACCAAGAGAAGAGAAAAAAAAAATATTTCACTTAAAAAGCGAAATAAAGTATGCTAGACACTACAAGTATAATGTGAAACCTGGGCCTCTAAATAAGTATGTTTATATCCAAATGAAAGTAAACTCTAACCATTCCCATTAAGGAACTCTTTTTTAGATAGGTTGTTAGAAGGCGAAGAGTCAGAATTGTCCAAAAAACCCAATTCTGACTGGACAGTACACATGTCCCTCCTTTTCAAATATGACCAGATTCAAAATTCTGTCCTACTATTAGTACAAACTGGAAGCTAACCCTTCAGCTCTAGTTACCACAGATCTGTTGCTGGTCTGAGAGCAGACACTTTTCGTGACTATACAATCCTTCACAGAACTGGATGGAACTGCTGGCTCTCATGCTAAAAAAGCGAATACCTGGAAACAGCATTCTTTACCCGAGGAAGATGCAGGGTCCCAGACGGTTTCGTGTGGATATACTTCCCTTACTCCTACGTCCGTGTGTCAGATCTTCACCTGCAAACTAATTCCACACCGGGCTGCCCGGGCTTGTCTGCAATCAGTTCCTCCATCATCTCAGCTCTACAGCAGTCCCTCTTTCCCGATCCTGACACACGCAGGTAACTGCGCACACTCTGCCCATTCTTGCTCTGTCCTCACCTGCAGACCTGTGCCCACCGCACTGCTCCTACAGTCTGCCGTCTCACACTAGGTCTGCTGTACCGTCTCCCTCAAGAGTGAGCTCCTTACCTTGGTTCTCTTCTTTCTCCAGTCCTTCCTAACGTTATCTTCTGGAGCCCTAATCTAGTCTCCGTAAGTGTTTTATTAGCCAGCAAGATCTTGTTTCAGTGTGAAAGCTCTAGGCTAGGTATAGCTTACCCAGCCTTCTAATCAGCACTTTCCCGTATTATCTTAAAGCTGCTTCGCACACGCTACCAGCCTTGCCCCTAAAGGCACTGAACTTCCATGTTCTGTATATAGTTCAGCCAGATTAGATTTTCAGAGATACTTCTTTGATCATATACTGCTGTATTTAAAAAATGCAGTAGCTCTCTACCATGTAGAAAACCAAGTTTACACTCTGTCTTAGAGTTTCAAATTTAGAGACATGGTACCACACAGTAATATGTTATACTTCAGTGGTACTGAGGCCACAGATTTCCTTGAAAAAAGTGGAAAAGCATGGACCGTCTTCTTCAAAACACATACATACGTGCATAAAAAGGTGCTTAAAATGTTTACAGGTTCACATACCCCTTTCCAAACTAGAATTACTTAATTCTAACTAGTGTTTACTCCACACTGTGTACAACCAACAGCCAGCTTTCTTGCCTTGTTCAGAACGCTGCTCCCTTCACTCCCTCTTCACTTCTCTGAATCCCCACTGCCACACCCATCCCAACAAAAGGCCTGGCCTCCCTACCTCTCGCCTAAACTCTCATAGCAGACCACATGACACTGTATATAATTCAGCTTTCTCTACATCCTGGCAACTAGACCGAAAGTCCCTTAAGGTTTAGGAACTCAGGCAGTGCCCAGCAGACCGAATAGCTCGGAGCAGGCCCCTAGCACTTGCTGGCTGCCCGCCCGCGGCCCCGGCGTGCCTGGATGGGCTGGTGGATGATGTGCTGCACTGCCGGCTGAGCCGCAGCGGCGTTTGGCAGCTGCGAAGTGGGTCTCAGGACCGTGGTCACTTTAGAACTGGACATCACTGCAGCAGCAGCTGCACCTGGAAAAAGAGCATGTTTTCATTAGTGTGGCTTCTGGGCTCACAATTTAAACAGCTGCAATTATATTCCCTATAAGCTCAGTATGTCAGTATTTAGCTTGAGTGTTTTATGTGTATTTCCCATTTCATCACATAGGAAATTAAAAAATTAAGAAAACATGCACTCAAGGGCTGAGATTGAGATTAATAATCTGTATTGCTTCTTCAAGGATGTTCTTTAATGAAACTGGCTTTTTGTTTGTAACTACAAGTATACAGCAGTGAAGCACAACCTAGTGGTGTTACCTTGATTCAGGCCCAGGCTTCAGCAGTAAACCACCAGAGAGGTGCACTCACCTGAACCACCACTGCCTTTGCACCATCAGTGCCCATGTTAGCACCGAGAAAAGGGCACAGGTATTAGTTTCGACCTCACCAGACTCCCCTGCAGTATCTGAACCTCATTCTGAGAACCACTAAGGTATGTTAAGAGAGATAATCTCATACCAGACTTTTGCCAAAATAATTTTATCCTCTCTCACAGGAGGTGACAATTTCTAAGTAGTTGAAAACTCTGACTAAACTTAATACTGTACAAACTATTAGAATATAATTTTAAGAACAAATTCAGCTTATTGCCATATGAACAAAGACATTTGAGTAACCATTTCCACTAAACTTCAAAAATGCCAGTATTAACATTTGTGAGTTATTTATTAAAAATGAAGACCATGTTTAGATTACCATAGCTTTTAGGAGCTCCTCATTACTAAAGGACAATTTTTAGATCATGCTAAAAATCTGAATTGCTTTAAGTTTACACACAGACACATACTTGTTATTACAACTATAATAAGCAACTATTAGTGAAGTCGCTCAGTCGTGTTCAACTCTTTGTGACCCCATGGACTGTGGCCTACCAGGCTCCTCTGTCCATGGGATTTTTCCAGGCAAGAATACTGGAGTGGGTTGCCATTTCCTTCTCCAAAGCAACTATTAGGCCATGCTAAAAATGTGCATTTATCTAAGTTTATTTTTCCTGTCCTGCAGCTTCAAAAAGCTCATTCTGGATATGCTTTGTGTTACTGTATCTTTTACCAAATGTATACCTGTCATTGCATTTCAAGAGTTTGAGCAAAACACACAGCCTTACCTCGAGGTAAATGAGAAGCTCCAATGTGAAGAGGGGGCCCAGGAGCATTGCTGCGGATGATAGACATCTGTACATTTGTGGTCATGATGTGATGCAGGTTACTGGGATGTCCCTTCAAAAAATAGGATAGAATGTTATTTCCAAGTGTCTGGTTTTAGCCATAAGTGCTTAGGCACTGCTTCTACGAAGCCAGTTGCCTCTCAATGTGGGCTGGATTGTTCCTTATAGATAGTGAGCACCCCAAGGGACACGACATTTAGCTTTCTTTATACAGCATATTGCACGATGACCTGTGCCAGCAGGCACGTGGTGACAGGGAGGACCCATCAGATGCCTTGGGTCTAGCCATTGCTACATCCCTGTCACTGATGACACGTGACTGAATCCCTGCAGACACCCACATTTTCAGCAGTAGTCTCTCACCCTTGTTTTCTCTTATCTTGGCCAACAGCTTACTTCTTCTTACTCTCACTATTTCCTTCGCATGCCACTACATTCACGCATTCTTTACGCCGGCCAGGATTTCCAAGTAAATTTAGTCAATATCCAATGGGCATCCCCCTGCGAGTTCTTTAGCTCACCCCTCAGTGTCCTTTCCTCACACTCGCCCAACCCTGACGCCAGTGCTTCTCAGGTGGACGTTTCAACACTTCTGGGAGCATTTAGCAGTATGACAAAATGAAAAAACCACAGTGCATCATTTTGGAACACCTTTTTTTCTTGTAAACTTTAAGGAGAAGTTCTGAGATTCAGTTTTCACTGGTAAGTAATTTAAAATATTTAAAGAAATAAAACACATATTATGGAGGAGGATTACAATTTAAAAAAATGAAGCTAAATATGAGACTTTAAAATAAATGTTCACGACTGGTAGGCTGCCGAGGGAACCTGCCAGTTGCCCAAAAGATACACATTACTCTGCCCAGAGAATAACCTAGAGAAGCACTCCAACTGTGAGGCTGCTCTTAACCCACTGGAGTTCTATACCTATAAACCAAGCACAACTGGATTCTGAGCTCAAAGTCATGGGCTGTCTTATCTAGGTTTGTTTCTCACACTGTGGGTGGAGCCTCGCACACAGCAGATCCTCAATACATATTGGCTAAATGACAAGACCACTATGTGTGTTGGTCTTACTCCCTATGCCATCCCTCTCTGTCAACTCTACTCTTGACCCCTTGCAGATACTCTGACTAGTTAATTTTTTAATTTAGTCCAGTGCCTAACGTACTGCTGGCATTCAATAAATAATGATCAACAGTTTGGCATCTCAGTTTAAAAATCAGCAAATTAAGAGGAAAAAAACCTGTTGTCCACTGATTGTTGCCACAGGAATGGCTGAAGCTTGAGGGATGCTACTCTCCATGGTAACGGTAACCTGCCCTGGAACCTTGGGGGGGAGTGACAAGGTAGAAGGTGGAGCAGGAGCAATGGGACGGCTAGGCATGGTGGGCTTCGGGGGCGGCTGCAAACAGAAAACCACACGAAACATATCAATAGCTTTTTACTAGTGATGCATTTCACTCTATATACGTACACAAATCAAACCTGGAGAATGCCAGGAAAGATGCCAGAAGCCTTGTATATTTTCTCTCTTAGCATCACAGCCTTTCCATTGAAGTACTACCATTTCCATTTTACAGATGTGCAAACATACAAAGCAAGGCTAAGTTCCTTGCTCAAAGCCACACAGACAGTAAAAACGAGAATCAGGAATAAAGCCCAGATCTGTATGCCTCATAGCCCACATTCTTTCTTCTATACTATGCTGCCTCCCTAAGTCTGGGTGGAAGTAAACAAAACTTCCAGTAACTAAAACATATCCACAAGGTAATATACACAAGGCGATGCTCTCAGGTATCCCCAAATTAGCAAATAAAATCTTGGAGAAGAATGCCACTCCAAGATAAAAGCTACACTAGTACGCCCGCAACTTTTGAATGAAATCTATGTCAATATGGATACTGGAAAAGATCCTGTGATGCCAACTGCCCAGCGGCACAGGACTAGGTACTGCAGAAGAGCGAAACTCTGAATTACAGACAGGAGCTGGACTGATGGGTCAACAAGAGAAAGCTACGATCCCAGGATCTAGCCTGACTTTGTGAGCACTGTCAGAAATACTAGCCAGTCTTTAGCTGCGGTTCAGTGTGACATTTCAAGCCTCTCCATTACCTTCATCAGTCCCTCCGAAAATGACAGTGGCACTGCTGGCGTCAGATGTGCTGGTGGGGCTGCCACTGTGACAGGTGTGCCCGAGGCGACAGCATGGTGTGTAGACAACATCTGCACCTGCGGGTAGGGCCTTACCACAACAGGCTCCTGCTTCTCTTCACGGGACTGCAAGGAGCTGCTGGAACCCACGTGCTCCCGGGCAGCGACTTCAGCGTCTCGACTCGATTCATCATTGACTAGTGAAGACATGAGGGAAAAACAGTGAGCTCAAGTAGCTGAACCTGTGATACGAGACCTAAGACAGTTTCATTTAAAATATTTATTTAAAAAGTTATAAAAACTTAATATTAAAAAGATTACTTTAGTTCTTAAGTCTAAGAACATATAATATTTCAAAACAAATTTCTCAGTCCATATCCCTACAGAGTGAACAAGTAAAGCTCTATTGTTACTACAATGCATGTACTCTTTGAGATTCAACAATTCCACTTGTAGGGACGTATCTTATAGATACAGAGCATATGTATAAAATGAGTTAGGTATAAGTTATTTGTTTCAACATTTTTATACCAGGAAAGGAACTGAAAAAACCTACAAGTCCATCAAGAGTGGTCTGGTTATATAAATGATCGCATACTCACACTTTAGACTAGCATGCAAATATAAGAACAAAGCAGGAAAATGTTTTAGGTACTCTCATGGAAAAAACGTATAATATCTATTATGAAAAAGATATATGCATATAGCCAGGTATAGCACAGAGAAAAAATAAAATACACAAACATAAACACATTTCTATTTGAACAGTGATAACCTATCTCCAAATCACCTTGGCTGCCTGAAGGGAAAGAGAGTGGTGAGTGGGGGACGGGGAGGAGAGATACTTTTTAGTGTATACTCTTTTTCTTTTGGAATTTTGGACCATGAGAGCTTGTAACGTATTTAAAAGTTAAAAAAAAAATCAAGGAACTAATGCAAATGAAAGAGGAGAGACTGTGAAAATATTAATTTGCACTATCATTTTCCTAAAACGATGCTATTTTTCTGAATATAAAGATTACACTTAAAAAATTTTTTTAAATTATTTGGAAAAGTATACAGAAAGTAAAACTGCTCCCAAAGTCTCCCCCAAAAGCACCAAGTTACTATTTTGGTAAAACCTCAGACACTTCTCGGCTCTTTAATTTTAGGTAGGTTTTTATTTATTTTTGGTGTGCCACACGGCATGTGGGATGTTAGTTCCCTAAGCAGCGACTGAACCCGTGAACCCTGTAGTGGAAACCAGATCTTAGGCATTGGGCTGCCGAGGAAGTCCTTATTTAACTATAACCTTCATAAAACAAGTGCACAAACGTTAATTTTATAGCTTAGTGAACTTTCACAAACTGAATACACTTGAGCTACCAGCACCTAGATCAAGCAGCAGAATACTACTGGCTCCCCAGAAACCCTCCGTTCAGCCTGAATCCAGGCACTGCTCCTGCCAATGATACTCACTACGCTAACTTCTAACACTGCAGGGTACTGCTATCTCAGTTCTGAGCTCTACATGAACACACTTATGCCAAATGCACCAGGCTGCATCCTGCCTCTCTCACTTACAGGCATGAGGCTTCATCCATGTTACTCCATGCAGCTGCAGATCTTTCACCCTCAGTACAGTATGCCAATTCTTGAATAAATCACAAATTATCCATCCTACTGCCAGCAGCAGTTAAGTTTCACTTCTTTCACTATTTATGAATAGGAGTGCTAGGAATATTCATGTACATCTTTTGGTGAACATTCATATCATTTCTATTAAATACATATATATACCGAAGAGAGAAATCACTGAGTAATAGATATATACTGTATCATTTTAAAAGGGCTAAATGGAATGCCACTGCATAGCTGTACTATATTTTTTTAAACCATTATATCACAGATGAGCTTTTAAGTTATTTTCAAATTTCTGCTATCATCAACGACTATGAAATAGATAACCACACGCACACCTTGTTCGATGACCTGCTCAGGAAAAAATCAGAAATTTTTTTCTTGGAAAAATGTGCTCAGAGAAAAGACGAAAGTATATCTCATATTTTGTTATATACTGATTTTTCTCCTAGCTCATTCAACTTTTTTAAAATTTTGATTTCTAAAATCACTTTATTGAGGTATAATCTGCATACAGTGAAACAGCTGTTCTAAGAGGGTTCAATGTGTGTTTGTTTTTAACACTCTCACCAACATCTGGTAGCGCGAGCGGTGAAGCACCCGGCTGCCAATGGAGGAGACGTAAGAGACAAGGGCTGGAGAAAGACGTGGCAGCCCACCCTAGTGTTCACGCCCGGGGACCCTATGGCAGAGGGGCCTGGCAGACTACAGCCTATAGGGCCGCAGACAGCCAGACACAACTGAGGCGCTTTAGCACACATTCGCCAGCAAACTGGCAGGTCGGTTAGGCCAAATAGTGAACTTTATACGAAACTGTCAGGTTACTTTCAAAAGTGGTTGACTCATCTTATGTTTCCACCAGCATCGTATCAGTGGTCCAGTTGCTCCTCGTCCTCACCAATTCCTGATATGCAGACCTTCTAGTGGGTGTGTACTGGGTATCTTATTGTGGTTTTAATTAACATTTCCCTGGTGACTAGTAATGCTGAAGCTCTTTTTATATGATCACAGGTCATATTTCACAAAGAGAAATAAATATATGTTCATATCTCTAGATCTTTTTTAATCAATCGGCCTTACTGAGGTATAATTTACATATAAAGTTTACTATTTTGTTCTATAAAATTAAATGTACATATTCAGTGTTGTAATCACAACACAATCACGACATAGAACATTACTTATTATTCTAACAAGTTCATTCATGACCCTTTGCAGTCAATTCCCTCCCCTCCCATCCCTACTCCTTAGAAACCACTGATCTGCATTCTATCACTATTGTTTGGTCTTTTCTGGAATTTCACAATACAATAAGTGATCCTTTCCGTCTGGCTTCTCTCAATAAAATGCTTCTGACGCTCCTCCATTTTATTACATGTAATGCTAGTTTGCTTCTTTTTATTATTGAGTATAATTCTGTATGGATTAAACCAAACTTTGCTCATCCAGTCACCAGTTGATAAAATCTGGGTTCTTTCCAGTGTTTGGCTATCATGAATAAGGTTTCTATGAACCACTGAGGAAGTCAATGTATGTGTGACACACAATTTCATTTATCTTGGGTAAATACCTAGGAATGAGATTGCTGGGATGTATGGTAAGCTCTTGTTTAATTTTTTAAGACACTGTATCAAACTGTTTTCCAAAGTGGCTAGATTATTTTCCATTCCCACCAATGTATGGGTTCTACTTGCTCCACAAACATGTCAAAACTTGGTATCATCAGTCTTTTTTACTCATTCTGGTGGGTGTACAGTAGTTTCTTACTATTGTTTTTAATTTGCACTGCCCTGGGATTAATACAGTTTAATTTTCTTAATGTGTTTACCTGGCTTTTATACAGCATCTTTGATTAAGTGTCTATTCAAATATTTTGCCCATTAAAAAAAACCAAACCAGCTGTTTGTCTTTAACATATTCGGGATGTAAGTCCTCTGTTGATACATCTATCACAAATGTCCTCTCTCATTTGCTGGCTTGCCTTTTTATTTTACTTAATGATGTCTTTTGCAGAGCAGTCATTTTAGTACAACGAATTAGTTGTCTCCTTTATAATCAGCATTTTTTGTGCCCTAAGCAATTTTTACTTACTCCAAAGTAACAAGTAGTTTCTTCTATGTTTTCTTTTACAAATTTTAAGTTTTAGATTTAGGTTCACAATTACACATTGAGTTAATTTATATGCATGGTGGACACAGAGGGCAAGGTTCATTTTTTTCTCATATGAATATTATAGTGTTCTAATACTATTTTGTCAATACCCTATTGAACTCTCTATGTAGTTTTATCAAAAATCAATTAACCATTATATGGTTAATAAACCATTGTGGTTTATTTCTGGATCCTCTAGTTAGTTCCAATGATCCAGTGATTTATACCAATTTAACAATGTCTTCATTAGTACAGCTTTATACCAAGTCTTGAAGTAAGGCAGCAGATAAAAGGCAACTTTCTTCTTTTTTGTCCAAATTGCTTTGGCTATTCTAGGTCCTTTGGTTTCTACATAAATTTTAGATTCAGCTGTCAGTTTTTAGAAAAGTACCTGAAGTGAATTTGATTAGGATTTATATGAATCTACAGGTCCCTCTGGGTAAAGGAAAATACTGAGTTTTCCAATCTATAAACATGACAAGTCTTTTCATTTACCTAGATCATTAATTCCTCTCAGCAATGTTTCCCGTAGTTTTCTAACCCCAGGTCATACACATTATTATGTTAATTTATTCCTAAGTATTTTTTAGGTTTTTTTAATGTCACTGTAAATGACATTTTAAAAATTTCACTGTTCATTACTAGTTCATTACTTTTGAACTGTGAACATGTACTTAAAATCCTGACATGCTTAGGATCCCAAATTACTTCTTTCAATAGATGCAACATGAAATACAGAAAGACATCTAACCACGTAAGGAAAACTTTTGTTTTTTTCCTTAGACCAATTGAAGGAAAAGAGACACGTTTCGGAAGTAAAATTACAGAAATTTTTGGCCTAAGTCAATGATTTCCCTCTCAACAAAATCTGAGGGCAATTATTGCTAACTAATACCCTTCTTAATGAGCAGTATAATTCTTACAAATCGATGTTCAAAAATATTCTCTTCAGCTATGCTCCTTTAAATTATTCTGGTGTGGGGATCTCCTGGCAGTCCAGTGGTTAGGACTTAGTGTATTCACTGCCATGACCCAGGTTAAATTGCTGGTTGGGAACTAAGACCGTGCAAGCCACACAGCTCGGCAAAAAAAGAGAAAAAATTCCGCTGTGAATTTATACCAGAGAAAACACTGTCAAAAATATCTGTTAAAGAGAAAAGAACTTGAGGCCGCTCTGTAAGAATTTGTTGATGTCTACACTGTAGCAAGAATAGCACATGCAAAGGAATATGGACAGATAAGTCCTGGCTTGCTTTCTAGGAGGAGGTCCTACCCTGAACTGCTATGCATGATGGAGTCAGTAAAGACTTCCCAAAGAAAAGTGACATCTGAGATGAAACCTCAAGAAAGAACAAAGACTATCCAGATAAGTTAAGTGTGGAGAGGAAGAAGACAGACTGTAGCCAAAAACCCCCCACAAAACACAAAAACCAAAAAAGCACAAAAACCAGACTATGTAAAGTCCCAAGGTCAAGAAAATTGGGAACTTATCGCTTACTCAGAAAACGTCAGCAGCTACTGTTAAGTAGGAGGAATAAGGAACACAGAAATCAGGCAGTAAAGAAAGGAATAGAAAAACGAGTACTTTATTTCACTTTGCCAATACAGAAGTAGTAATACTTTTTACTTGATATGTATAACATACAGATTATTTGAAGGAGTAACTCAACTTCAGCACTGCTGATTAGACTGAATACTTTGTTGGGGGTGGGGAGGTCTGTCCTGCATAATGTAGGATATCCAGCATCATCCCTGGACTCTAAATAAATATCAGATACCAACAGCACCCCCTACCTGTGACAACTAAAACTGTATCCAGACATTGCCAAACACTCCCTGGCCAGCTGAATCATTACCGACTGAGGCCACTCACTGATCTACAGCATTCAGTTAAAAACCAAGCTGCATATATGTGCGCATACACATTTTAGAAAAATCTCTTTTCCTAAACAGTAAGTTCCTAAAAGGCAAGTTCCTATAAGTTCCTATGCCTCTGCCCACCCTCATGGCACTATTATTATACTTCTGGGCCTTAGTTAAATAACAACACATTAATACATTTAAAAAATGTATCTTATAAGCATACTTTAAGTTTCACCTATACTCTGGCACATGTGAATCAAGTGATTAAAACAGGACGGGAAAAAAGCCTTATTTACATTAGAATTGTAATATATATCCCTTCTTCAAATTCAATAACCTAGTATTTACTAAAACCCCACCAAGAATTTGCTAATTTTTAAGTTGGAAAACCTGCACTATTTTAAAAGCAGAAAGCAATGCAGAAAAATATCACACATCTCACCTGTTGCAGCTGGGTTTATCAATCCTGCAGAACCACTGGTGGCTATCTGTGAAGGAGCCTGGCTTAGTCCGGTGGAAGGGGTTCCTAACCGAGGAAACTGTTGAGAACTCATTTCCACCTGCAGTGCATAGTCACATGGTTATTACTGGATTCTGAGATTAGAACCAATAATGAGAAATTAAACCACTTTTAGTACCTATATCTTCCTTTAGGAAAGCAAATACTGCATCATTTATCGAAAATAATACTTGTGTTCAATATACAGTGCAGAAATGGTCTAAATTGTTTAAGTTTCCCATGTACATATGGTCAATTAATGGTAAAATCGTTTATGTAATACTGAGGGATACTATGACTCCCTCCCAAATACTTGTGAACTGCCACACGAAAAAGTCGACACTACATCGTGTGCAACAGCCACATGACATGTATTAACACAATACATATATTTCTCTGTAAAGTTTCATGACAAATGGCTCGTGCCTTTGAAAGCCAAGCCTCACACCAAGGTGTACAAAACTGTCATCGGTGTGTCAAAGGAGGAATCGGAGGCAGATGCCCTGTCCTAAGAAAGGATCAGAAGCCTTACATCAAGACCTGATCCAAAAGGAATTCTCATGTTTTTCTGCACAGGCCTTCAGTGACGGATTTCATCCCGCCCTTTCACAGACCGCCGCCGAGCCAGAGGGAACGGAGACCTTCACCACCTTTCCTAAAATCGACCCTCACTTGCCCCTCAGGAGCCAAGCTCTGCCGATATCCTCGATACGCCCGCAATCCTACCCCCACCCAGAGCGCCACAGCTGAGGTCGGAGAACATGGGTCTCCAGACACATGGGGTCTGTAAGACTTCTTCTTCGGGGAGGGGGTTAGGCATTCTGAGCAGCTCAGGACCAGTATGCCTCTTTACCTGCAGCCGCCGCCCGCCGCCCTCCCCTCCCTCCCGATTCCACCTCGCCAGGCTGAGAGGGCCGCGGAGGACCCATCTCGGTGGCGGCGCTGGGTTCCGAGGTCGCCGGGAGGGCTCGCGCCGCAGCGCGCCTCGGACCCGCCGCTGTCCAGCTCCTCTGGCCCCGCTCACCCGGGCCACCCGGCCACCGCTCCGCTCCAGTCCTCTTCCCCCGAACCTGCCCCTACCTCCCCCGCCTGTCCATTGGCCCCACGCCGGGCGCGTCACTCCAGCGCCCGGACCAATCCCCCGCGGTCTGCTAGCTCTGATCCCGCCCCACCCTCCCGCCGACTGCCAGCCAATCAGGCGCGAGCCTCGCCGGGGCAGCCCAAAGCCCTCGAGGCTGAGCCAATAGCAGAGGAAGACAAGCGCTGCCGGCGAAAGGGGCGGGGAGTTAGGAGGCCCCGCCTCGGTCGGGGTCTGAAAGCGGCGGGCGCAGGGCCCGGATGTGGAGAGTCACTTTAAACTGCTCCAGGAGCCAAACTCCTTGGGCTGCCCGCCCGCCCGCGCTCCCCCGGCCTCTCAGCTTCCCCGCCAAGGCCCACGCCCGCCACGCCCCCACGCCCGGATCAGCCCAGCCCTCCCGACGCCTCTCCTTTCCTTGCCGCAGGACACCGGGCCTTTGCCGCCGGGCCAACTGCCGTGCTCAGCTCGCGAAAGAGCACAGGTCTACGCCGCAGGAGACGAGGCACCGCTGCCCTTCCCCGGGGACGCGCAGCGGGACGGACGCTGCAGCCCGGCTCGGCCGCCCCGCCCCCTCGTCTCCTCCCCTCCCCTTCGCTCCCAGGCGCCCGTCCCGCCATTACCTGAGTGCTGCGCCAAGTGGCCGCCGCGCCACTTCGAGCTTGCTTCCGTGTGCTCTCTGCCTGTGGAGCCGACGTCCTCGGGCTCCGGGACCTGCCGCCGCCTCCGAGGCGCTAGCACTCTGCCCCCCACCCCTCAACCCAGCGCCACTGCTTCCGCCGCCGTAACGAGCCCCTCACCCATTGGCTGGATTAGGCCCCGCCCTCCTCCGAGGAAGCCAGTCACCGCGCAGTGTGAGCAGAGAGCGGACTGGCCAGCCCCTTGGGGCCGCTGAGGCCTCTGGGAAATGTAGTCCCTGATGCCTAGAGGGCGGGCCTGGGCGGGGCGTCCTGGCGACCCGGCCCGGGTAGCACACCCCTTTGCTGTTTGGAGTTGATTCTGCCTTTTCCGTGTGCCTAGTAAAAAGGTCCCACCCTTTTGCTTCAGCTGATGGCACCAGGTTTCATTTTCTCGAGGGAGGTGCCTCTCGGGAAAAGAGTAATGGAGGCCGACTACACTGGGCCGAAGGAGCTGCAGGCAGGGCCGAGGGGTTTTCTGACTGTAATTGATGTTCGCACCGAGGCCATGGCCCGCGAAGCCTGAGCATCGTGGGAGGATGAGATGCACGAAACTGGAGCGACTCTGTTGGGTTTACGCTGGACTCCGCGTCGGGAGCTCCTCATCTGGCCGGACCCACCAGAGAGCTGAGCTGAGCACTCTCAGGTTAAAGCCGGCTCGGAGAGGCGAAGGACTCGGACACGTTGTACCTGCTTGGTTTTTCCAGATTGCGAAGAAGCGGAGGGAGTGGTGGTGGTTTGTTGTTTTGTTTAGGGTGGAGGGATGGCGTTTATATGGTTGTACAAGACTTAGTCAAAACTGCCGAAGCAAAATCTGAGTCTGATAAATAGAGATGATGTCTCCCTCCTTCCTTCCCAGATGGTAATTTAGGTCTGGAGTTTTGTGTTAAGAAATAAAAAGGGCTCACATCCTTCTTCCTTTCATGTACAGCTATGTTCTTGCTAGGAAGAGCGTAGCTCGTGGCTACAAGAATGAACCTAAAATATCCCTCTCCTTCAGCCACTTTCGTTTCTCACTCTCTTCCCTTCTCAGATTTCTTCTAAGAGTAACTGATGTGATATACCTTAGCCTCCTCTCTCCTTAGGCAGTTGATTCTGCCTCTGCCGCTCCTTCTCAGGCTGCTCCCCCTAAGTTGCCAGTGACCCTCTCACCTCACCCAGTGGTCCTTACTTAGTTTTCAGCTTGTCTAGTTTACCAACATTAGTTCCTCCTTAAAATATTCTTCCCTATGGGGAAAGAATAATGAAGAATAGATACATGTATATGTGTAATTGAATCATCTTGCTGTTCACCTGAGACTAACACAACATTGTAAATCAACTATAAACTCCTTTGGTCTCCAGAAACACACTTTCCTGATGCTACTGCTGTCTCTATTAAGCTCCTTTATGCCTTGTCTTTCTCACGTGTACCACATTCTCCAAGGCTCCAGCCCTCTCAATGCTATGGCATCTTCCTGACCAGTTTAATGCACCCTCACAGTTTCAAATATCATTTTCAAAAATGACTCCGTTTCATTGGTGTGGTGGCCTATCCCATGATTTGTACACCTACAGTTCCACAAATATGTTTCACAAACCCCTGAGACTTAACATATTGGCCACTTTTGTTGATTTGCCTCACCTTTGTACTCCTCCTGATTTCTGGGTTTGGCTAATGGCAGTGGCATCACCGTCCACCCTTTCTGCCTTTGGTTTTATTCTTGTTGGTTTCCACTCTTCATCTTCCAGAGTCAGCCTATGGATTTCTATACTTCCTTTCCTGTTGCGTTCATAGACTTGGCTCAATATTTCATTAATTCCTGTCTGGACCCTACTAGTGTTGCCTCCACTTAGATTTCTTCCTACCCCCAACCTGTCCTCTGGAGAGGTTTTTCTAAAGCATTCCTCTGTATCTGTTATTCCTATCTATGATGTTCCAGTGACTTCAGAATCTATTAATATTCCAAACCCTAAACCCGTTCAAAGCCTGTGTTTAGTCCCTCCTACCTCTCACGTATGGTTGAGTACTGTCTCAACCATAATTTCCACCTGTTCTCCACACAGCTTGGCTTTCAAGCTTTGCCTTCTGCAGGCCCCAGCTTTCAGTGGCATATAGCAGAGTGCTGCCCATTTTACAGTGCCTAAGTGGAAAGAAAGGAATTCCTCTCTTTCCCATACACTGTGGGATACTTCCTTAGATATTTCTTCAGTACCTCTATTATAGCACTAATATATCTACCCTGTCTTCTTCCTGGATTAGGCAGAGAGAGAAATTATTCATCTTTGTATCTCCCATCAACTGGAAGGATTCAATAAATATTTGCTAACTATAATCCCAAACACATCCATAGTACATGAATGAAATCCAGATTTTCATTAGTTACTGCTTTATTCACTTATGTCTCTAGTCCTTCACATAATGGATACTTGAAGGAAAACAGATGTTTCACTCCTGGTTGAGTTGCTAGGGTTTAAGATTTCCATTCACTGAACTTGGTGTGCTGAAGACAGCCTCTGTGTTGCACATCCAGGTTGAACCTTCCACATTTTGCAGGTCTTCAAGCACCCCTTGCCAGCTGCAGGGGCTTATTAGTATCTTGGGTTCTTGAAGAAAATAGTTTCTTCAGACAGACACCACATCTGCTGGGTGGTTCTCTGGTAACAAGGAAGGCAGATTCTCAGTGCGACTGTTCTGTGGTGGTCAGTCAAATATCAGTGGGTCATCTGCACCCTCTGGTCTGCAAGTATCGGTGAAGTTCTCTTTGGCTTCTGCCACTGACCCCGTTGGCTCTTAGTCGGCCTTGTGGGGTCTGATGATACTGACTCTTTGGTTCCTGTAGGTCTAGAGACTCTCTTTGGCCCAACCCCAGCCAATAAAGTATAGTTCCTTCCAGTTAACTCATCTGAAAAATGAGAGTATCATTGTTCTTGTTTTTTTTGTTATTTGATCACTAAATTGTATCCAACTCTTGGCGATCCCATGGACTATAACCTGCCAGGCTACACACATGAAGGATGTGAAGGATATGAGCTTACTTACAACCATTGTGACATGGTGGACAGATTCTAAAAGTGAAGTGAAAGTGAAAGTCATTCAGTCATGTCCTACTCTTTGTGACCCCATGGACTATACAGTCCATGGAATTCTCTAGGCCCGAGTACTGGAGTGGAACCCAGATCTCCTGCACTGCAGGTAGAGTCTTTACCAGCTGAGCCACAAGGGAATCCCAGACAGACTCTAGGATGACCTCTAATGATCCCACTGTTGGTATTTATGTCCTTTTGTCTTTCCATTGTATGTGGCAGGACCTGTGACTCTTC